CCTAGGAGGACGACCGGCGATTTACTGCCACTAGACCCGGAGATCGAGAAGACCTGCCGACAGAACAGGAAGCAGGTCAAGTTAGGGAAGCAGCCAACCACAACTCCTAGGCCTTCCCTAACCAAGAGAGGGCAGGCTTCATCACCTGTCGTTCCTACACCACCTACACCACCGCCGCGCGTCATCGAGCCTGTCATCATGGCTGAACAGGATCGTTCGATCAGGGCTCGTCTGAATCAGAGGACTGGAGCCCGAGCTTCATGTGTTGTCATTCCGGTTGGGGATGCCAACATGGAGATTGCCCCAGCCTTCATCAATATGATCACTAATGGGTACACCTTCTCAGGGGCCAACACCGAGGATCCTCATGAACATCTCCGCCGGTTTGCAAACATTTGTGACACAATGAAGAGCCCGGCTGTGTCTGATGATGCCATCCGTCTTCGGATGTTCTCATTTTCTCTGCTAGGGAATGCATCACACTGGTTCCAGAACTTGACACCCCGTTCCATCACAACATGGGGTCAGCTTGAGAAGACCTTTTTGGATAAGTACCTTCCTCCTGCCAAGGCAATGAAGAGGCAAGAGGAAATTGTCACTTTTAAACAAGCTGAGGATGAAAGTCTGACCGAGGCATGGGAGCGCTATAAGGAGCTTCTAATGAGATGCTCGAGCCACGGTCTTGAAGATTGGAATGTGATCTCCATCTTCTTCAACGGAATCAGAAGACAATTTCGAGATGCTCTGAATAATGCTTCCCGAAATGGTTTCACAAGAATGGAAGCACCAGAAGCATATGAACTGTTGGAGAAGATATGCTCTGAAGATACTGAATGGGGTAGTGAGACCGGCATTCGAAGGAGAGGAGGCTTGCATGAGATAGACAGAGTTGCAAGTTTAGAAGCAAAGATTGATGCTAAGCTGGATTCCAAGTTCGATGCACTCGAACGAAGGCTGGCTAAGTTGGCTATTGGTAGACAGGAGGAGGTTGCTTATTGCGAATTATGTGAATGTGCTCATCATAGGGATCTATGTCCACTGGTGGCTGATCAGATGGAAGATGTGCACTATATCAACAATCAGAGAAATCAAGGCCAGGGAGGTATGTACTCAAATACCTACAACCCACAATGGAGGATGCATCCTAACTTTTCCTGGCCGAGCAACAACCCAACTGGTGCTCGCAACATTCCACCTCCAGGCCTGCAGAAACAACAACCTCCACCTCAACCAGAGAAGAAACCACAACTTGAAGAATTGCTTCTGGCTCACATGCAGAAAACCGACAATAATCTGAAGGGCCTGGATCAATTTGTCACTCAACAGCTAGCCATCAACAATAATTTACAATCGTCTATGCTAGCTATGGAGAGGCAGATGGGACAGATGGCTCAAACTCTGGCGAATATGCAAGGCAGGATTCCTGGGACATTACCGGCTAATACCGAGAGGAATCCAAAGGATGCCATGGTTGTAGCAGTCACATTGAGGAGTGGGAAGGAGTTGGAGGATCCAAAGAGCAAGAAAAATCCAGTAGAAAAGGAGGGCAAAGGAGCTGCAGAGATGGAGGATGAAGAAAGTGCAAAAGCTGAAAAATCTGACTTGCACAGGCAAACTACATGCAATCTGCCTGTGCAAAAGCAATCTGCCCGTGTACCTCAAAAAGTGGAAAAATTGAAGAACGAAGAGGTAAAGCCTTATGAACCTCCCGCACCATTCCCTCAAAGGTTAATGAAGCCCATGGAAGACCCAAACTTCAAGAAATTTGTGAATATCTTCAAGCAACTTCATATCAACATACCACTGGCAGAGGCACTGGAACAGATGCCTACATATGCTAAATTCTTAAGGGAGTTGCTGACAAAGAAGCGCAAATGGGCTGATCTGGAAAAGGTAACCCTTACTTCTGAATGTAGTGCTGTGATTCAGAATAAATTACCAGAAAAGAGGGATGATCCGGGCAGCTTCACCATTCCATGTGTCATTGGAGGTACAGAGTTCAATAAATCACTTTGTGATCTTGGAGCAGGAATAAATTTAATGCCATACTCAGTCTACAAGAAATTGGGATTGGGAGATGTTCTTAAGCCTACTCGGATCACTCTCCAATTGGCCGATCGATCAGTGAAACTTCCAAAGGGAGTGGTGGAGAATGTATTGGTGAAGGTGGGGAAGTTTATTATCCCAATAGATTTTGTAATTCTGGAGATGGAAGATGATCGGGGAGTGCCTCTCATTCTTGGGAGACCTTTTCTAGCCACTGGTGATGCACTCATCGATGTCGGGAGAGGGAAGTTGACATTCCGAGTAGGTAAGGAGGAGGAAATTTTTAACGTCTTTCAAGTTGATCATAATCACGATGCATTTGATGACTTTGAAAGTGGAGCTCGAGAAAGGAAAAATTCATCTTCCTGTGATAGTGGACCATCCGAAGAACTATCACCTATCCTATCTGCTCAGATTCTGAAATCAAAACAAGGGCAGAAATCCTTGCCAGGTCACCTCAAGCATAGATATTTGGGTAAGGATTTCAATCTTCCTGTTATTATTCCTTCTTCACTAACATTGAAACAGGAAGAGTACTTGCTTGAGGCGCTACAGTACCACCTACGCCTCACTAAAGGGTCCAACATGCAAGATAAGAAGGTCATACCCAATTTTCGCACACCTGGCCCTGCAGAGGTGACTCATATGCTGGATGGAGGTTATGCGTTCTATAATTGTTCGGGAGGGTATTCTGGATACCTTTCCATACCCATTGGTTGAAAGCTCCATGAACGTCAGGCTGAAGACGTTAAACAAGCGCTTCTTGGGAGGCAACCCAAGGTAAGTTTTCTTTTTTTTATTTTTCTTTTTAGTTGTGTCAAACCCGTGCATGTTTAGATTAGGAGTTGAACATTAGGGACAATGTTCCATCCTGAGTGTGGGGTGGTGAGTCTTAGTGTTTGTTGTCCCTATTGCATGTAAAAAAAAAAAAACAAAAAACAAAAAATTGCCATTAAGGTGAGTCTTAGTGTTTGTTTGTCCCTATTGCATGTGGTAAAAAAAATCCAAAAAAAAAAAATTGCCATTAGGTTGAGCACAGCCAAACTAAATGCAGTTTGCCTGTGCAAAAAGCAAGCTGCCTGTGCAAAGCTAATGGCTAAAAAACACCTAAAAATCAGAAAAATTAAAAACAAAACCTTGTACTCTTGTGGTAACATGATGTAAATGACCGTGATGCCTTGAAAATGAGTTTGTGCTTGAATGAAATCATCGAAATCACCCCACTAGTGTTGAATTGCATGGTTCTTCACAATGAGCTTAAATGTTTTGACTGACTTGATATGCTTGGAATGAGCAACTCTTTTAGCAACAGTCTCTTTTGTGAGGATAGTGTAATGACTTTTGGTGAAGTAGTTAGGTGGAGAACATTGACCATTCGACATGTTTGGATACCGTGCTTACTTGCATCAATTGTGAGCTTTTGATTTGGCAACGAGTCTCTCTATTTTGATTGTTTTATGATGGGGTGAACTGTATCTTTATAAATGAGAAAACACTACCTGACAAGTAAAATATAAGAAAGTTGCCATAATAATTAAAGTGTGGGTAAAAATGCCAAAAATCGTGTGAGGCAATCACTCATTGCACATGGGGATGAGGAAAGATTCAATTGAGAATCGGTTCGCGACCGTACGATGTTGCTTATCAAGTACGATCCCCAGTTGAGTGAAGTGCCATTTGAGGATGTGTAGTGACCCTCCACACGGACCGAGGAAAAGGAGTTGAAAGAAGCCCTTATGCGAGTGCTAAGAAGCAGAAATTGCTCTTGCTCGGTCACCGGTAGTAAGAAACAAATCCCACTTGTACTAAATACGACCACTCGGCAAGCAAAAGCAGAAAGAGAGAAAGCCTCTCCTTGTCATAAAAGGTAGTGATGTGCTTAAAGTTAAAATCTTGTTTGCGAAAGGCTTCCCCCATTAGTTTTTGAGACTCATGCTTAATTAATTGTTTATGATTGGTGTGAGTAAGCCAGATTGTCCTCACGAGATATGCACCTCACTGATGTGGTTAGATTCTCCTAATAATTATTGCATCATAAGTTGTTAATCACCCACTACCGACGATCGAATTTGAGTGTTGCTATTTGAGTTTTTGGATGGATTTGAGTCAGTCAATGGTAATGGTTGCAAAGAACTTGAGTGTGGGGTGAAAGGTATGACCATTAAAGCACAACTTATCCGTTGAGAAAGAAACTACTGATTACCACAAAAGTACAAGGGTAAATTTCTGGTGTTGATGTTTTGTTTTGTGTGTCGTGGTATTATGTTTTGAGAAAGGTTGTGTCTCTCTGGTCAGTGTTGTGTTTCCTCCAATTATCGGTTTCTTGTCTGAGCCGTTGCTTAGGGACAAGCAAGTATTGAGTGTGGGGTTGTGAAAGGTATGACCATTAGAGCACAACTTGTTCTTGAGAAAAAAACTACTGATTACAACAAGAGTACAAGGAAATTTTGTGTTTTGCTTTGAGTGTTTGATTAGTGAGTATGTGGTGTGTCATTGTTTTGGATGATTATGTGTTTGTGTCTTTTGAGTCGTTGCTTAGGGACAAGCAACAATTGAGTGCGGGGTTGTGATATTCGGCTTTAATATATCGGATTCTTGGACTTTATGTGATTATCTCATGGTATGTTTTAGCCAGTTGGTGCTATTTTAGGGCTCGCTAACCCGAGAATGGTTGAAAAAACCATTACTGCCGAGTGCCATGAGTTTGATGTATTACAGGTGGAGAAAATACGAAAAAGAAGCGAGTGCACAAGCAATAAATCGGGCTCGAATTACTGGTGGACTACTCACTTGGGCTCAAGGCCCAGAGGACTTAATTGGACGGAGGCCATTCTGGGGAGCACTAATCTTGGGCCAGGAGGTATTAATTGGATGGGCTGGGGACAATGCTTTGGGCGAGAGAATTTGGTGGAGGAAGGGAGTTATTTGGGCCATTCTTTGGCGGAACAGGAAAAGAGAAAGAAAAAAAAAATCTCTGAGGAGGAGGACAAATTATTGAAGGGGATTTTATTGGTGGGAGCGAGGCGAATTCTTGGAGAGAACGAAATTCTTGAAAAAGAAAAGGAAGCAGGCGGCGCAGGAGAAGAAAAAGCGAAGCAGCGAGCAGCGAGCAGCGAGCTTGGGACGCGAACGACAATTGGCAATCAGTTTCCTCAAGGCTTGAGCTGAATTCAACGAGAGTGATTATTTTGGTTGGATTTTCTAAACCGAACTTGTTGCGTATTGTTGATTTAGATCATGATGATCAATCCCCGTTAACAGAGAGAGCAGCGTCGGACTAGCTCGCCGCCGGCAATCGAAGCTCGAACTCTAGCGGCAAGGAGGCGCTTCAGGCGGAGGAGGCGCGGGGAAGCAAGGCAGAGGAGGAGGCGGGACTGAGACGGGAGTCGCGGCAGCGTGCGAGGGCGGCCAGAGAGCGCAGTCGGAAGTTCTTTTTCTGTCCCTAATTCGTCCTTTCTTGTCGCTTGAGCTTGAAGAAATTCGACTAGGAGAACTGAAAACTGACGACGAGCTTCTTGTAAGCGTTTGTTGAATCGACAGATAAGGCCGCGCTTCTTTGATGGAGGCGTAAGTTTGAATGTTTGATTGCTGGCAAGTGGAAGAAGAAGACGAGACTTGTACTGGTTTGCGATTGCAAGGTTAGTTGTTCATTGCCATCACTGTTACAGCTTTGGTTTCGCTTCTTTCATTCTGTGAATTCAATATCTGCTTTCTGAATTTTGCCCTAGTTATCAGTGTTTTACCCCTTGCAATCGGCCTGCCTATGTAATGCAAGTTTCTAGGTGAATTTCTCTTCTCTCCATTGGAAGTGTTCTCAGAGAGAGGGAATCATATTTTCCATGTTGATTAAGCTGTTGACAGGGTTTCTGGGGTGTTCCATGTTGAGATTTTTGGTATGGACAGACTTGTGCTTTAGTATCGGCGGGTAGTGTTATAATTGTGCTTAGTGGCTGATCGTAATGATGTTTTGCAGAGGACAATTTTTGGTGTAGCCCTGATCTCTTTGCCCCGTTCATCCAAATATGACAGATTCAGGAGAATCTCAACAGCCTGAACAAGGTATTGATGCTTTGTCTTCAACCATAGTTTCTGCTTTAATTTGCGTTGTTCACTCTTTCTTGGGTTCTTAATTTATGGTACATCTTCTCCACATTCTGCAGTATGCAACTTTTTCAGAAAGCCAACTAAGAGCAAGAACATCAGGAAGAGAGCAGTAGAAGATGATAATGCCGAGGATTCAAAATCCGAAAGCTCTTTCTTAAGCAATCAGAAGAAGGCGCCAAAGGCTGATAACAAGCTATACTTCTGGTCAGGACCTTCGAAGAGCTCAAAGCCATCAGAATCCAACTCAGACAACAATGAGAAGCCCATCTTTCAGTTTGAGTCTTCAAAGGTAATTCAGGTACAAAATGACAGCAGGGCAACAGCAACTCTGGAAACCGAGACAGACTTCGGAAGAGATGCCCGGGCAATACGCGAGAGAGCTCTTAAGCTAGCTGGGGAGGATCTGAAGGGTAACAAACAGGGTTCTTCAGGTAGCAACGAGAAGCTGTACAAGGGAATTCATGGATATACAGATCACAAAGCTGGCTTTAGAAGAGAGCTAACAATTGCAAGTGAGAAAGCTGGTGGATCACATGGACCACTTAGGGCATCTGCACACATCAGAGTCTCGGCAAGATTCGACTATCAGCCGGATATATGTAAAGATTACAAAGAAACTGGTTACTGTGGTTATGGAGATTCTTGCAAGTTTATGCACGATCGAGGCGATTACAAGTCTGGATGGCAGATGGAGAAGGAGTGGGATGAGGCAGAGAAGGCAAGGAAGAGAAAATTAGCTTTGGGTGCCTTGGCCAAGGAGGATGGCGAATTTGATGAAGCTAATGATGAGGACGATGATGAGGACGATGATGATGCCTTGCCATTTGCATGTTTCATTTGTAGGGAGCCTTTTGAAGATCCTGTCGTGACCAAATGCAAGCATTACTTCTGTGAACATTGTGCTCTAAAGGTACTCACCTAGTCATCTCTTGAAATTTTGAATCGTGAACATAAATTATGTTGTGAAGTTATATGTTTTCCTTGCAATTTCTATCACGTGGATAACATTCAGTTTCGTGTTTTCTTCTGTTTCTTGTCTTGCAGCATCATTCCAAGAACAAGAAATGCTTCGTCTGCAACAAGCCGACTCTGGGTATTTTCAACACTGCCCATGAAATACGCAAGAGGATGGCAGAGGCGAGCAAATGATCATGCTGTTATGCTGATTGTTGCCCGCATCCTCCCTTGTACTGCTTGGACTGCTTTACCCACACTGTTATTGGTTGGTTCCATTTTGGGTTCATGACACTGGTTGTTGCATCTTCCCGGTTCACGACTTGGAGCAATTTCACTTTGATGAGAGCATTAATGATCTAGTATGTACACGGTACACCATCGAATTGCGAGCATACCATGTAATCTAAAGTTTATCAGTAGTCCGGAATCCTGATTTGCCTGTACCTTGTTGTCTGTTCTTTTTATGTATATCACCTCATTGATTAGCTAGGATATCCGAATCGATCTGCTCGCATTCCAGCCTTGTGAAAGGACGTTAAGGTGGAGAAGTTGGGGGAATTCCAGGCTTTCAACTACATCATTTACCAATTATTTGATATGGAGTAATTGATCTTTATGTGTGCAGGGACACAATTGTGAGATTCAGTGAAGATTTTGCTAGAAATAAAGGATAAAATCCACAGTTCAGTGATCAGAGTGACCCCTAACTATTAGCTAATCCACTCCTTGTTCGACCTTCATTAGCTTCCAATACTCAAAATGGCGGAGGCGAAAGGAGAGGAAATTGCCAAATTTCAGAACCCCCCAAACGGAATTGTTCTTTAACCAGTAGTATTTACCAAATGAGTAGAGAAACACAAGATAATTTAACAAAATTTTGCCCTATTTTGAATCATATTTACTATTGTAAAGCGGATGAAATTTAACTTTTGACGAATCCATCATCATTCTTTCATAATTTCGTCATTAAATTGTGAACCGTGAACACCACCCTTATAATTTTGGCAAAGCATTGCTTAAACCAAACAATCTCACATCCGATTTAGCTAACAAAATTGCTTATCCAATTCCCCTGGACCAAAATCTCAAATGGGCCCTAAATCCAATTTAAGGAGGATAAGCCCGCCAACGTTATCTCCACGCGTCGCGCTCCCAGTGGCTATTAGGATTTTTCCCTCGCAAATCTCCCACTGAATAAAACCAGGGCCCACCCGGTTGCATCCTGACCGTCCGATCCATCTGATCACAGGTTTGACTTTCTTCAACCGTCTTGCTGCTCGCTTTCTCTGGTTATAAAACAATTTCAAAAAGATTCCAAAAAATGGAAGCTCCGCAATAATAAGAGAAGCGCTATGCATCTTCGCCCCGACGGAGAGTGATAAACAGAAAGGAACCGCCGGATAGAGGAACTAACGGTTCATGGCGATGCCGCTAGTTTCACGAACGCCGAGTCAATCGACTGCGGCGGGAGGGACGTCGTCGTCGTCGTCGTCGTTCCGCGGCAGGGTAGGCGCAACTGATTTCCCACGGAGGCGGAGGAGATTGAGCTTGAGCGGTGGCGGGGAGAGGAATTGGAACTCGCGAGTTAGAATCTCTGCGGAGAGCAGCGGCGAAGGGCTGAACGCGACGGAGAGAAGCGGCGGAGGTGGAGCAGGTGGAGGTTTTGCGGGAGGCGCGATGGAGGTTACGACGGCGTTCGACCGGAGCTTCGGAGAGGCCGAGTTCCCCGTTTGGGAGAAGATCGGTGCCGTGGTTCGGCTGAGTTACGGAATCGGTGAGTTTTGTTCTCATCCTGTTAGTGGCGAATTCGATCCCTATTACTGTTTCCGAATTTTTTTTCCCCACTTGTTTCCGGATTCGATTTTTTGCTCTTCTTGAATAAGGTAAAACACTTTGAAAATTGCTTATACGGAACGCCACAGAATGTTTATAGAGCTATGTGTGTCCTTCATTTGCTGTTTGGCTAGTGTTGGAGTTGAGGAAACTGAGGTAAAAAAAAAATGTACCGGAACTCCTAGCTTTATTGACAAATTTGATGCATTATTTTCTAAGGTACAAATATGGTACCAATTGAAGCACGTTAATGGTAAATATGACTCACCACGTCAAGTTTTGCACATCATTGTAAGCCGTCGCCACTAGCATCACTGATGGCGTTACGTTTCTATATTTGTCGATGAAGTTAAAGCTCGTATCGAATCTTGGTGCTAATAGGGCGAGCATTATGCGTGTGCAATGTAAAAATAAGGGGTGCTTAATTATGTAGCTTGTTCATTTTGAGCTTTCACTGGAGAGTGATGTTTGGCTAAACTTGACTGAAGCAGTTGTTTTTTCCCCCTTTGTTTTGGGTTTTTTGTTGTGGGGAATTTGGACAAGTCAGGTATATATGGCGCAATGGGTTTAGCAGGAAGGTTCATTTGCTCATTCACTGGGATTGATAGCATGGGAGGATTCGATCCGTCGTTGGATGCTATTCTTGGAGGGCTTGGATATTCAGCACCTCCAATTATGGCTCTCCTATTTATATTAGATGTATGTTCTCTTTCTTCTCTGCCTTCTTGTTTTGGTAAAATTTGTCCTGAAAGTGGATTATATTTGGGATGCTATAGAAAGTATGAAACTTGAGAAATGCTAATTTTGGAAGGTTAGTCTTTTCACTTTGTTTGGTTTGAGCTAAAAGTGGAAGGAGCAATATTCCTCCCATGAACAAGAGAACATAGTCCTATTCAAGCTAATCTTGGTTTTTTTAGATTCTTTTTTTTTTTGGAGATTTATGTTCGGTGGTGTTTGACAATGATGATAGGATGAAGTAGTGAAGGTTTCGCCTCATGCTCGGGCCATTAGAGATGTGGAAGATGAGGAACTTAGGAACTTCTTCTATGGGATGTCACCTTGGCAGGTAAAATCTTCTGCGCCTCCAGATTTGTTTGATGCATTGCAGAATCTTGCATTCATTTGCATGGGAATTTGATGATTGCCTTTTGCTGTTTTTTCCTTGGCGTTTGCAGTTTGTCCTAATTGTTGCTGCAAGTTCTGTTGGTGAGGAGCTATTCTACCGGGCTGCTGTGCAGGTTTAAATCCCTTTTACCGTCTTATTACTTTGCTTGCACTGTAAAATTGTGCATGAAGTAGCACCTCAAGCTGATGTTGGGTGAATTTAAATTATACTGCCCATAGATTAATTCATTAACAACTGGATTTTAATGTCATTTGAGGAATGAAAGAAAGATTTCGATGTGTCGAGTAATGCACACGTCAATTTGTCTATACCTCTTACATCTCAAGGAGTTTAGAATTGCTGATTTATAACTGATTATTTCTATCTACCCTTATTCTTTCTCTTTCACAGGGAGCTTTGGCTGACATGTTCATAAAGAGCGCTAGTTTGGCGACAAATACTCAAGGAATGGCGTCTTTGGTAACTTGTTCCCGTTTGATTTTCCTTGCCTCCCATTCCCAACACATAATCGTCAAGTAAAGCTAAGGATTTTTTTGTGCCCTCTTGGTGCTTATGATGTGTAGGCTGGTGTCCTGCCTCCACTAGTTCCATTTGCTCAGGCTTTCGCAGCTGCAGTCACTGCTGCTCTCACCGGCGTCCTATATTTTGTCGCCTCGTCCCCTAAAGGTTTGACACAATTGAAAACCCAGACAGGATGTAGGCTCCCTCCGATGCCAACTCTTAAGTTCATTAAGTGTTCTTTGTTGCTTTCCCCAGATCCAACTTATGTGGTTGCGCCAGTTCTGCCATCCCGTTCGGGCCGCGAGGATCTCAAACGACTCTTTGCAGGTTTCTGGTCCTTCCCCCTTAACCTCGTTAATCTTTTGGGCACTAGCAAATAGGTCACTCAGAATCCATTAAAGCTTTATGATAATTGATAACTAAAATAATTGTCACTCCATTCATTTTCGCCTAGTCTCGTGTCCAAATTCGTCGACTAATTGGAGTTTGTACCTCAATAACAACTTCTCTAAGAATTGAAGTTTAGTGAACAATTTAGAATCTAGCCTAATGGTTCTGTGATTAAGTGTTGGCTAAGAAACCTGCTGATATGTTTCTCGTTTCGTACCTCATCAGCCTGGTACGAGAGGAGGCAAATGAGGAAGATCTACTCACCCTTACTTGAAGGGCTGCTGTCTCTCTACCTCGGATATGAATGGATCCAGGTGATTTAAACTTTCACCATTCCATATTTATACTGTATTGAACCATTGAGTTTCTGATACTAACGCAGGTTTTCCATTACCCCCTTTCAGACAAACAACATTCTTGCACCCATGATCACCCACGGGATATACTCGACGGTGGTTTTGGGGCATGGCCTGTGGAAGATACACGACCACCGGAGAAAACTGCGCCATAGAATCCTGCAGCTTAAATCAGAGAGAGGGAGAATCCAGTGATGGGAAATAGCTGGACAATGTATAGCATATGTTCCAGAGCATCATGATTAGGTATATATATATATATTAACCTTTGTAAAGAAAAATAATATGATGCGACACAGAGTGTTCCTAGATTATAGGCTTAGTTCCGAGTGATAGTTTCCAGCAAGCGGTCTCCATTGTATCAGAAATTACGAGCATGAATCGAGGGAATCCACTCGGAACTTGGATGGTTGTATGGTGTGAAAATCTAGTCTTCCAACTGGGAGATGATGCTGGTGAAGACCTTGTAGCCTTGGGCCATATCGGATAACAGGCAGTACTCGTTCTTGGCGTGGTATGTAGCCATCAGACCTGTGCATTATCAGGGCACAAATGATTAGTTGACGTGGAAAAAATGTCGAGTCAGTGCAATGCAGCTGACGAACAGGATCAATAGGGAAGAGCCAGTTGTAATGACGGAATCGATGGCTGGACTGGCTAGGCAGTAAAGCAGACAAATTGCTCTCATTAAAAGCATGTGAAACCACTACATCTAAATCAAGGTTAGTCAGAGATTAACTAGATAGTATGCAATCAGAACAGAACTGAAGTTGGGTTAGGCATATATGATGAACACTAAATTATCTGCAATGGGGAAGGTCGTAAAGATCAGATTTGCCACACCTACGGATAAACGTATATTGTGGATGCAGAGCCTAGCCTAACACAACACATATTATCACTACTTAAATGATAAATCTTCATCAACAATTGGTAAGGACTATTGGTTATAGAATGATTATTCTCTAGGATGACGATAGGAAAAGAAGCGGTATGCTAGAGGGTGATCATGTTTATCATACCATAACCTGCTGTCTGAACGTCGAAACCTTCCTCCTGCAACGATCACCAAATAAATGAGACTTGGAAACGGCAGGATCTCGGAGGACAAAAACGAGAAATAAATGGGATAATATAAGTGCATACGCAGTTACCTGCAATTCGCGTATCAGTGGTAAACTTCCCGTTATTGAGTAGGGCTTTACGTAGCCAACCACCTTCTCGGTTGCTTTGCACAAGACGTGAAAGCCACGAGACTCGAGGTTGCAAGCAACACCGGAAAATGCCTCCTCAAAGGATATTGCAAGTCTACGCGTAATAGAATTAGGCCACATGTAAACAGCTTTAGGTAAGACTGAAAGAACCAACTGCCATTGTATAGGATATCAACATCTAACACTCGAAGAAAGAGAATACATACCTCCCTCTCATGTTTTCATCTGGAAGAACATAATGTGAGACTGGCCCTCGGCTATCTAGCTTCTCTATGTTCAGATTTATATCATCTACGTACTCTTGTAGCTTCTTCAATACATCTGCTACACTGGAAATATAACAAAAACTGAGCTAATCATCCAAATCCAGGAACAAGGGGAACCCAAATCACAACCACATGATAACTTTTAAGAAAGGCAACGAGAACCCAAATAGTGAGAAAGACTGCTTACTTGTAGAAGGGAGTCAACCTGCATACAAAAGAAAATAACAGTGAGCCCCGGTTTTTTACGTTCATCTATATCAAAGTGCGGGTCATAATGGGGTCAAGGTCACAACAGTATGGTCACACTGGGTGGTGGTTAGTGGAGCATAATGGGTCCAGCCATGAAGAGTGCCAGGTTGGGCCACCTACCCCAAGGGCTCTGGATCACAAACAGGCACACCAAAGACACAAAGAAACTTATATGCAAGCCAAATTTGCGGCCTGTGATAATGGTTATAATCCTAACGTGTCAAGGGTTCACCATGGTGTGTAATAAAGCATGTCGGATGGGGTCATAAAGGGTAACAGGTTCGCTTTTCGTGTGTCAGATTGGGTCATGTTTGGTTTGGGTAAAATTCTAAACCATATCAAACTATATGCAGTGCACCGAGTCACACAAAGAGTTGCAAACCTGACATCCCCAGCAATTGTACACTCTCCTGGGATTTGATTGATGCCACCTCCAGGATCTGTTATAGTAACAATGGGAATCTCAGAGATCAAAGCAATTCCTTCTCCCACTAATCCCACCCGTTCAAGTAAATGGAAACTTACAACTCCATTGAGTTGGTTTCATTGTTGACGGCGTAGCAAATCCATAGTCTTTCTCCTTGGGATGAGCTGGAAAGTGTTTGTAAAACCGCAACTGAATCTCTTTAACTGCTTCCATGCCTAATTCCAAAGCATTTATGGCCTGTCCATTATCCATACCTCTTTAAACAACATAAATAACGTAGCAGGTGTTTGAACATCAATCCTCAAAGAGTTCAAAGTAGATTATTCCAAAATAACACAAGAACCTAGATGGTACATAATACTATTGAGCACCAGTGATTTTCCACAAACTGTAACATAGGAGCTAGTCGGGCTGCACCAATTTGATTACCAAATTAGCCTATATATATCATTGGTCATTGAATTCGGTTTTGAGATAACTATAACACCAAACTTGCCCTAATAAGTCATTCTTAGCATTTCCATTTCTTCCCTCAATTTGTCTCATCGTGTTACTGAAAGGCAGCCCCACATCAGCAACATAACAACAACAAAAACTGATGGAAGTAGGACAGGGAAACAAAAATGCAAACAATGACCTAGGAGGGCAATTTGTTGCTTTACTGTTTTCTAAATGCTGAGAGCAACGGCCAATGCAATACATATAGGTGAGTTTGATAACAGAACTAACGCTTTAGCCTGAAACTAGTCACTACTGAGATGGCTTATCGATCTGTTTTTCTCATAGATTCTGACAGCTATATCTCATACTTGTACTGACGCACATAAAGATATTACTTCTTAATGCATACCTTGTGGGGTAACCCACTGTGAAAGAGTTTCCCGGTGACATGAACTTTCCATGGTATCATGCCACCGGTACCAATACAAGGCTGTTTATCGGCTGTGTCAATCCAGAATCTGTCGGCAAAAATCAAATTATTTACAATGTAGTTCAGAACCATAAAAAAGGTACTCAGTTATTTCGCTACTTCCACGAAAATTAATGTTAGATTGCTTACAGAGGTCCATTCTTCAGTTTATCAAGAAGCCCATTTTTCACAAGTGCATCAACTCCAATTCCTGTTATGGAAGAGTTCTCTTCACTCGCTATGAAAACAGCAACAACAGTAGACTTCAATTCCGGCTTCGTCTCTCCTAGCTTTTTCATGAGCTGAGTCACTAGGGCCACGTGTCCCAGACAATCAGTTGTCCCTCGCCCACAAAGCTTATCCCCATCAATGCTCAGTGCAAATGGATCGAATTCCTGCAGACGTTAGAAGAAAAAAAAAAGTCAAACACTAAATTGTCCAAAATCTGATAGACAGATAGCTCGAAACGAGAAATGGGATGTGTCTCAACTGGATTCCATAATGACAAAGACATCATTTCCTAAATCCAGAAAGTTAATAGCTACAGGTCAAGTACCAATCAGGTTACCAAACTCACTATCGTACTGGAAACTGAAGTCAATTGTCTCTCTAAATAAGCCACCCTAAAAGCATTCCCTAATCCCCCATTTTACCTCCAGTTTTTGCCATTGTGCTGCAGATGTGGCAGCTCGTCCTTGTATGCCAACTGGAGGTTAGCACAACAGCAACATCACTGCAAACACTGACAGAGGTAGGACGGATGAAACAGGGATGCTGACAGCGATTTATTTCGCATCCAATACGCTACATACATACGAGTTCAGTCACCAAATTGATTAAAATCCAGCCTTATAGCTCTCGAAACGGTAACCACGATCTTGCCTAAAGTCCTAACTCCTAAGCAATTCATTATCACAGGTTTGAAACCGCTAGAAGACAGGCCAGAAGCCGATCCCAAAACGTCCAATTCATTCCACCTGAAATTCAACTACCGCAAACCAAAGCAAGGACTCCGCAAACAAGAGAAAGCGGGAAAAGCGAGAGATGCAAACCCAGTCGGCGGGGTTGGCAGTGACGACGTCCATATGCATCCCGACGAAGGACAAGATCTTGCCGGACTCCGTTCCAGGGTACTCGACGATGAGATTGCTTCTGCCGGGAGAGTAAGAAACGTGATTCACAATCAACGGACCCCCGCACTCGGTGCTGAGAGGGCGGAGGACTTCCAGGACGTGATTGGCGACCCTTACTTCCTGCGGAATCAGCTCCGGCGGGTTGTTCTGGACGTGCTCCGACTCTCCGATCACCTTCTGCAGGAGGGAGACGAAGGCGTCGCGGTTGAGTTCACCTAGGATTTCCTCGACGCTGCCCATGGCTGGCGTGCGGAGTTTGAATTGGTGCCAAGAATGGTTGGGAATTCAATTGAGTTGAGTGGAGTGAAAGTGTTTCTGAGAGCAGCTGATTTTGGAGTTTATATAGTGGTCGGCTTGCTTTGGGTTGCTTTCGGCAGCTATTTTTAATAAGTAATTGTTTGGTACCAAATCCAAGCTTTCCTTAAGATTAATCATTAATTAAATGGTAAAGAAGTTAGGGAAGGAGATATCTAGAATCTAGTCCCAAGTAAAATTTTATAATTTCGAATTTTTATGGAATGATTTGATTTACTTAACTAAGCATTTCAACTAGGAGTCACAACCACAACGGTTTCGGGTGAAACCGATTTTCTTATATATTATATCAAATTACGATTTTAAAATTGTAATAATTTTCATAGCAAAAATTGTGTGGGGATGTAATATAACATATAAACTTGTATGTGATTCGGGAAAAAACCATCCGCACAACTCCTAACAATCCTATATAAAGTTCTTGAATTATTTAACTAATTTCTAAAAATGTAAATGTTAATTGATTTTTTTGTCGCATTTATTAAAAAACAGACAAAAAAATTAGCAAGATTTGAGGTTTAAGAGATAATTATAATATTTTAGAGATATGAATAATCGAAATGTTAAAGTGAGTAGTCTAAAATATAGTTATAACACATATTCCAGGGATTCGGTGCGGATACTTAATTTGATATCGAACCAAACCCATTACCGTTCTTATCGAGTTCAAGGAAACCCCACTCAAAAATAATATCGATTAAATTTACCCCATCAACGTTTATTTGAATTTGGTTGAATATCCACGATAATGTGTTATTTTGTCATCCCTAATCTCGACATGAAATTAAGTCAATTGAATCACTTCAACAATAACTTTAGGGACGCCTCTATGTATACCCTCGATTTTAGACATATCTTATTGACCTAAACCCTAAAATTATATGCTAATAATAAAAAAAATGATTTTGAATCATTGGCACTTACTTAATATGTTGATATAGTTTAGAATTAGAATCACAAATAATTTATGCATTTTCATTTAAAAAAATGTGTCATTGAAATAGTCATTAATAAACTTTTGAAATTGTATCGAACAATTTTGCCGAGATACTTACAAAAAAACCCCGATTAAATTCACACATTCTTTATTCATTATTAAAAAAAATTGAAAATCAAGGCCATTCCGTGATGAATGAAGTAAGCAAATGAGGGTTATGAAATGCAAATCAAATGGAAATTGCCCAAAATTTCGATTTCCATCATCTAGGTTTAGCAAAAGATGGTTCTGGTTGACAAGTATTTTGCTACACAAAAGATATTTTGGTTTTACTTGTGATTGTTTAGAAGCAAGAGCTCATAGTTGTTAGTTGTCCTTGTCCCACAAGACATTTGGTTGAATAAACAAATTTCCAATGATATCACACAAGAAGAAGAAAAAAAATTTGTTATTAGTGAAAACAATTCGTTCTTAGCCTAGTTTACTATGTAAGGTGAACAAAACCTTTGTTCCTACCGAGATCTTTGACAGATGCATCTTTCATGTCGTTTATTTTTCCTTACACATTTCACTAAATTCTTCGTCTGCAAACGTTATTAGTTCGAACATACTTTGCTAGTACGTTTCTAATAGTTCATGCGTCTGCTAGTACGTTTCTAATAGTTCATGCATCGTATATCACTAGGTGTTCCTCGAAACAATATTGACTCGGAGAAGGACGAATGTCATACATAAAAATCATAATGACATGCTCGACAAGCATCGATCGACCACAGTACTAACCCCTAAGAGCATCCCGGAGCGCAGTTATGTTTTCTTCTGTGCTTACTGCTTAGTTTAGCGCTGTCTATTATCAGAAGAGTTCGTAGGAGTAAATCTGTGGCTTTATCTCAATATTAGACTATTACCATCTCAACTGAACATAAATTGCAACCAAACACTCAAACCCTAACTTCAAAATCAATTTAGTTAAGAAATCACTACACTGAACCACCACCTATAAGCTAGACAGAAAAGACATACATTACGGGAACCTTGGAACACACGGTATTATCTGTACATGACACTTCCCATCCCCAGAACCACGGCTGAAATTTCAGGTAACAAGGACCGCAAACTGGATTAACATAACACTCCAACCAATTCAAAGCAAGGCTTCATCCTAATAAGAGATGGTTATGTTAATCCAGATCTACCCGGGACGATTACAGAGAAATCAATTCCAGGAAACTGGAAAGACATGCATGACAGTAGAGCTATTTCAGACTAAAAAACTTGCAGATCCAATGGCTGTCTCAAAAGGAACACAAGAGAGCGGGACTTTCGATATCACACGGGGTTCGGTTTTCTGCACTACTGAAAATGATTAGGGTAAGAGAGACAAATTAGTAAAAAGTATATGAGTAAGGCTGAAACTTCTCCACCTTTCATATTTCTTCTATATGTGCAGAATTGACTAGCCACTGGGGTAGAAACAGTACAAGACCTCTCCAATGGCTGTTTCCTTGGTGCCACAAGTTGCAAAACATTTTACCTTCAACGATTGAGGAGGAAAGCCATATGATGGAGCAGTGGTAAAAACCCAACTAAAGCAGCTTCTTGGCCTCTGACGAGAGAAGCTCCATTTGCTCAGTCAGCTGGTCCATATGCTCAGTCTTGGCATCCATGGAACTCGACTCAATATCGTCGGGAACCGGGCTTTGCACGATCAGTTCATCCCAGAACCCTGGAGCCAGCAGCGCATCAAGACTATCGTCAGGATCAAGATGAATGTTACCTAGATCGAATGTCTGCATTGCTCCATTCATATCCAATGACGATGGTATAAAGCAATCGTTTCCTGTATCTGGTTCCATGTAATCATCCACCGGAAGATCAGTTGTACTTTGGGGTACCATTTCCGGAATTTGAGAAAGCTCGGGAATCATGGGAATAGAAGCTGCCTCTGGGAACTGAGATGCTGCAATAGTGCTTTCACAACTCGTAATAGAGGGAGATGATTGTATTTCAGATACCATGGCAACAGGACTATTCCCTGAGAGTCCAGAAACTGGTGGAACCTCTTGGAGAGTAACGCCGGATATACGCGCAGGAGAGTTTCCGTTGTCCAATGCACTGAAAACAAAACGAAAAGTTGTACTTATAAAAAAGTGGACTTAGTAGTTGGAACGAACACACATCTTCAAACTTCTTATAACAACTACTCATGGTAGACTCTCACAGACCATCAAAATTGAAAATATAAAAATAACCTCATTAAAGAAGTTTCATTCCATCTTTGGCGTCTTCCAATCATAACTTATTCTCATCTTACAGTTTTACTCAGAATCTACTTGTTTCTTATAAATCACACCATCCAATATCCCACCAATTGTTTTATTTTTATTTTTTATCATTAGGAATAACTGGCACCTCATCAACTCAACATTTCAAAATTCTAAACACTTTGCTGTGACATAATAAAAAAACCAACTTTTTTAAAAGCAAAAGAAAAAACAAACACACCGAATTTCCATAAGATACTGACCTGGAAGAAGAATCAACTTTCATGATCTGCCTCATCATGGCTTTCGCTGCCTCATTCATCAATGGCTGATACCTAACTATCTGGCCATCAGGAACACTCGAAGGCTCATTATTATCCGTGACTCCATCTTGCTTGAGCCTCCGTTTTTTGTTGGTCTCGGATATGCGCCGATTATTCTCATTCTGCTGTTGTACGAACTGGGCCAAGAACCCGGGGCTCTGCATAGCCTTTGCCAAAAACGACATCATCTGCTGCTGTCGCTGCTCCATTCCTTGAAGCCGCTGCACCATGGTCTGTAACTGCCCGTCGGTAGCCTGTTGCTGCTGTCTTAACCTGACAAGTTCCTGCATAAGTACGTTTTTGTCCCTCTTGAGCCGCTCGACTTCTTCCTCAAGCCCAAATTTCCCAACCTCGACACAAGCACCAACAGATGAGGTCTGGGAGTGGGAGGGCTGGGGTTGTGGTTGGGTGTGACCTTGTGCTGGTTTCCGCCGGGTTATGGTCCTGAGGAGATGCTTTTGTCCTCTTAAGAAACCCTCGTTTGCAAATTCCCACCTATCTGGGTCTACTTTTCGAAATCCCTGTCAAAAGAGTACAGATAAAAAAAGTGAAAAAAGTAATTTCAGATTTACACTGTACTTATAAAAATCAAGCAAATACATACGAGTCCATCTTCCCAGTGTGAAATGTAAAAACAACTCTTCCTTGGACTTCTTAAGTATTAGCTAAGCTTCTATTCTCTCTCAAACATTCATCTTCCAGTAAATAAAAGGAGCTAAAATACAAGAAAAGATATAAACAGCAACAGATGTACTAAAGAGAAAATTAGGATTAAGTTATTTGAGATGAAACTTTTCAGTTGGTTACACCTTCTCTTTTAGGCTGTACTCTGATTTAGGTTGTCAAGTGCAATGTATCATAAGCTTTAACAATAACGAACAGCTACAAGTATCTGGTTTCTGATGGATCTCAACATGAATAAACAAGGTAAAGTGACAGTAAATCGGTACCATTATGAAGGGCAGAACTGCCTCTAAAGAGCAAACAAGACTGAACACTAAATCGGTACAGCAAGAACAAATAGTAATTTCTTTTCAAAATATTATTGTCATTCACAGCGAAACACAAGAGAGCAACTAATTTACCACAAGAGCAGTAACATGTAACAACTACAACAACATTTAGACGCTAGAGTTAACAAAAAGAAAGAAATGATGCCATTCCAAATAAAATAAAAAACATTTCTCCAAGGCCACAAAGTCTAAAGGACAATATCTAGCATCTTCAGAAAATGGACCTTCGAACAGCCTAAAAAATCAAATAATTTTTTTCCGATCCAATAGAAGCATCCGTCCGAAAAAATCCTGGAGATTCAAACACAGCTGAATAAACAATAGTAGGTCAAAGAATGACACAGATTGAATTGGTATATATGCCTATAATAAGTCATGGCACTTCAGTGGAGTTTCACACACAGCTGAACAAACAGTATTAGGTGACACAGATTGCATTGGTATATGCCTATAATCAGTCATAGCAGTTGGGAAGTCAGAAGGTACAAATACCAGAGATGAACATAGCAATGAAATTCCTCACTGTGGGGCGTGGACAAACAACTTCTAACAGTAAGCTTGGGCATCCAACTGAGAACCAGGATAACTCCAAACCACAATTACTATTATAAACTCATGCTTAATGACCTATATGTACTACCATCAGTACCACTACACATGGAGACTTCAGGACAGATATATCTTTAAACACCAAAGCAGCGGAAGTCAGAAAGACAACAATCGTGGCATAAGAGTGGAAAGAATGCACATCTTCTTTATCCCTTTTAGTTAGTTTGAACTCTGTTCTCCATCAACCGAGCAAATAAACTCAGTTTGATGCCATGGAGAAGCAAAGGATGTTCATTTAGAATACTGCTTGAGAGGTTATCTAGATCCAGATCACTGGCTTTAGTAGAGAAATAAACAAATTCTAGATAGATGAGTTGTGGCAGTAACATAAGCTCAAAACCTAGGTCAGATTCTGCATAGCCTCTAGGTTTACAATTCCCTTTGTAGGAAAAAAAATGAAGGGGAATGACTCAAAAGGAGAAGCAAAGCAAAACATTCACGAGAGAATCACAATTGTTGCAGCAGGAGGTCAGCATTCAATCAGAGAGGTTATGAATTCAAGAGAAAAGAGATCTTAAAAATGCACCAGAAAAATCGATAGGACAAAAAAAAATTACAGTGGAGAACAAAAGACAGATGGTCAGATTTCTAGTTGAGTTCTATAAAAAGATGGCATTTTCATTTTAGTTTCTAGTCCGCAACTTGCATTGACTATCAATCCTCAATCACCCTAATCAAAGTTCACAGTTAATTTCCTCTTCTGCGTCACTACTCGACAACGATGATCTCACCTTAAAGAAATGTAAATCTAGCAACTGACACAAAACATCACACCAATTCATTTTCCTAGAATTTCACTTAGTTGGTCAGAAGAAATTTGTTACCATAATATTAAAGAGATTAAATCATATCTTAAGCTCAATACTCCAGCATTCACATCAAGTGACTAATGTTCAGATGATATCTTCCGAGTTCTTCCTGCTTGAAGCATGAAGGAACTCGACACAAAATTTAATGCATTCTTTGAAACGAGAGAGGAATAATTCTGGAGATCAGGTTGCAATGAATCTGAGATGTTGTTTCTAATCACCTCATTCTGTCATTTCTTGTTCACTTCACTGCTGTTGCTGACAAGACAAAACAAGGGGAAAAGAAGAATCTTTTAAGCTGTTGCATGAAGGAAACAGCCTCAATCCAGACTTTTCAATACTTACTACGTATTTATCAACTCTTTAATTCAAATCGCACATGCATCACCCTCATCCCACTAACTTGCACCGAAAATCCACAATCTTCTCTCACCGCAAAGAATCTCAAAGCTGCTTAACCCAAACCAAGAGAGATTGCCCAGCGTCCCTCTGAACATTCCAACATACAATGCAAAGTTGCAAACTAAGGAAGTTTGTGATAATGCAAGCAAATCCAGAAGCAGCTTCTCACTCAAGTCCACAGAGCCACACAAGCACATTTAAAAATAAAGGATTCTACAGCTAAAACTTGTCTAACAGCAACACACGATAAGAACCACAGCAGTGAAGAAACCCCAAATCAGAAGAATTGCCTCCCAAAAGTTTTTTTTATTCAATCAACAAGAGAAACGAAATGAATTGCACACAAACAAGCCAGAATGAAACTCTCAATAAAGCACAAGTTAGCTCGAAATCAAGAAACCAGAATAGAAGATTCGAAAATCCCCTTACGTATGTATTCAGCTGCCGAACGAAGCTGGAGAAGTTGTTGTGCTTGAAATACTTGGGGAGCAGGTCCCGAGCGAACTCCGGCGGATTCCACACCACGAAGCTGTTGTTCGTCGAGCTCCACGACACCACGGAGTCGGTGGCCGGGTCATCCACCATATCGTACGTCTTGCTGAGGAACGGCGGCGGCGCGTTCGACTGCGCAGCCATCGGCGCCACCGGTGCCTTCGCTACGTCTCCGCCGCCGCCGCCAGCACCGCTGGCCGGAGCGCCTGGACTTTCTCCTTTTTGGACTTCACCGTCCATTACTAAATCGTTCAAACGGCTGGATTGATCGGAGACCAAGGGAAAAAGGGAGTGACTAGGGTTATGGGAAGGAATCCATTGCAGGTATCGCGATCTACAGAAGGCGGTTTGACGGATTTGTTTCGCGAGAGAAATTGAGGCGACGGGAAAGAGAAAGTAAGGAGTTAGAAAGAGAACGGCGTCGAGTTTTCGGCCGCGGGGGAGAGAGAGAGAGAGTGAGAGAGATAAGAGAGAGAAACTTGGGCTGGGAATTGGGATGGATGATGTGTTTGTTCAATGAATCACGGGCTCACGGCGGTCGCGGGCTCTGCTCATCTGACATCTCGCGGCGGGGAGGTGGAAATAACTCTTTTGCCCATCACCATTTGCCTCTCCATGGACCCCATTTCCCATATCGTTTAAATTTTCCCAAAATTTCCAACTTTAGCCTTTTCACCTTTAAAAAAATGTGGAATCCAAAGACCAAGAATCTTAATTTTTTTTTTTTTTGCATTACAGGAGGCACGAGGCCAAAGAAAGAAGAGGGAGCACTATGCTTCTAGCAAAAGTAGTGCCTCTGAGATCATCTTGAAGCAACGAGAGAAAGCTCATTAGGAGGTGTTTCTAATTCATGCATATCGTAGGGGTAGACGAGACTGTGCTTCGAGAGCCAGTCCGCGACTCTATTCCCTTCCCGGTATATATGAACTAGATTCACAATCCAGTCTTGAGCAATTTTTTTGCCCGATAGCTGCTAAGAGGGCCGCATAAGGGTGGAGATGATATGTCCTGTTGTTCACAAGCTGAACGGCCAACTGAGAGTCTGATTCTACAATGAGGGTTCTACACCCGAGCTTTCCACGCCAGTTTGAGTCCGTGATAAATAGCCCATAGCTCTGACATGGTGGTTGAGCACAACCCCAAACTCGAGACGAAACCTCCAATCCAACTGCTGTCTGCGTCTCGTAGGACCCTGCTTGCTCCAAGTATACGTTGGCTACCATTCGCCGCACCATCAACATTGAGTTTCCGCCAACCAGCGGGTGGTGGCTTCCAACCAACTTGGGAAAGGGTGCTGTTGGGGGTGTGACTAAGGGACTGAGCGCACAGACTAAGCAGGAGGGCGCATAATCGGCGATGCCCAACGCTCGATACCCGCTACAGGTATATAAGGGCTTGAAGCCCTCCAAAGAAAGGGACTTCTCTCCTCTCTCCTCACTTTACACTTTTTCTACTATCTCTCTATACTTCATCTCTCTATCTGCTCTCTCAACTCTCTCCACAAATCGACACTAACTTGACCGTCGGAGCTTAATCCGGGGGGCAACCCCGACTCTTTCACAGGTTCTTTCCCTCCCGACGAGATCAGACGAACGGATCGTGAGTCAACCCCACACCAACAAATATCATTGTTCATGCCGGAGCTAGATGGTTCAAACAATTGGCGCCCACCGTGGGGCTGATTCAACAACTTTCTTCGTCTGATCTCCGAAGGACGAGGGGCGATGGAGACGGTGATCGCACGACTACCTCTGTGAGAAAGAAAAAGGTTTCCTTACCCAGCATCCACTACCGACGACAACAACGTAACAGGTCAATATTTGTTCTTCCTCCTACTCATTCCGCAAGAAACCTCTCCTTAATGGCGCCAACTTCACCAAAGAAGAGCAAGTCAGTGTAGTCATGGAGGCTTCTCCAATAAAAAAAAGGGGGGGTTACCACTACTTTCCCCTTGTGTCAGAAAAAGAAAGGCACAAGCATCGATGCCAAAAAAAGGGGTTACCACTACTTTCTCCTTGTGTCAGAAAAAGAAAGGCAAGTGGGTGCCAGGCTGGTGAGTGAAAAAAAAAATAAATAAAAAATACTGCCTCCGCCGCGATTCGAACTCGCGCCCCTCTTCCGCCAAGCAAGCAACATCGCCAGCAAGCTACATGAGCGCTTGGTGATCCAACTCCGCGCTCAAACATATAAAGCCTGTCTCCCGCACCACATAAGCCCGCCTCGCACCTGGCGCGACCCACCAGCTCGCGCGGCCCAACCAAGTCGCGGCCCGTGCCGCGCACTCCACCAGCCCGCCTCACCAGGCGCAACCCACCAGCCCGCGCGGCCCGTGCCGCGCACTCCACCAGCCCGCGTCGCACCAGGCCCAATCCTCCATGCGGGCTCGCGTCACGCATCCAACAGACGCCACATCAAAAATATTATTGTCGCCGCAAAGGTTCGAACTCGTGACACTCCTCCCGTAGACAAGCAACGTCACCAGCAGGCTACATGCACACTTGGTGATCATTGCGCGCAGTACTCTCTTATCAAGGAACCCGCGCCATCATCAACTCGCGTAAAAAAAAAAAAATTGTCATCATCGCAAGGACTCGAACTCGCACCATCACTCCGCCTCACAAGCGCTATTACCAGTAGGCCACATACAAGCCTTCTACTTCATTGGCGCAACGTCTGCATTTTAACAACTCTTCGCGCCGCTTCGCACAAGTCAATCTCCGCCTGACCTCCAGTCCTCCACTCCGCGTCAGGCCCAACTCGCGGCCCGTCCGACTCACCCGCTTCACATTAAGCCCGCCACAAGCGCACGGCCCAACTCTCGCTCCGCATCCAACAGGCGCCCCATCAAAAATAATATCACCACCGCGAGGGTTCGAACCCGCATCACTCCTCCGCGTGACAAGCGGAACCAATAGACTACACAACAACTGTTGATCTAAGAGGCGAGGATGTCTTATTATATCATCTTCTTTGCCGCTTCTCACACCAATCCGGCTCAGCTCCCTCGCGTGAACGAAGCCCAAGTCACGGATCCAAGTCCGCCCCACAAAAGCCCAACTCGCGGCCCGCCAGGTCAGGGCTCCACTCCGCGGCGGATCAATTAAGCCCACCACTTGATGCGGACTCAACCGCCGCCGCCCCACAAGACGCGCAACATGGGCCGTCGCGTCCTCAAGCCCGCGTGACAACCTGCCATACCACATGGGCTCGCTCCTCGTTCACAAGCACGCGGCAAGATGGGCCCACATACAACTCGAGGCCCGCCAAGCCCAAGCTCCGCTGCACTTCCAAAAAGAAAAATTGTTGTCATCGCGAGGGCTCGAACCCGCGCCACTCCTTCGACAGGCAAGCATCGTTACCAGCAGGCCACAAGTACCTTGTGTTTCAACGGTGTGGCGTCTGAATTTTAACATTCGCGCCCACTCAGTTCCACGGAACAAAAAATTAGCAATAGTCCAGCACTATTCGCGCCCAGTTCCACGGAACAAAAAATTAGCAATAGTCCAGCACTATTCGCGCCCAGTTCCACGGAACAAAAAATTAGCAATAGTCCAGCACTATTCGCGCCCAGTTCCACGGAACAAAAAATTAGCAATAGTCCAGCACTATTCGCGCCTAGTTCGAAAGAACAAAAATTAGCAATAGTCCAGCACTATTCGCGCCCAGTTCCACGGAACAAAAAATTAGCAATAGTCCAGCACTATTCGCGCCTAGTTCGAAAGAACAAAAATTAGCAATAGTCCAGCACTATTCGCGCCCAGTTCGAAAGAACAACCTGTAGGCTACCACTCAGGTTCTGTTTCAATGGCGCAGCGCCTGCCTTTCAACTACTCCTGCCGCCACTGCCAATATAAAGCTAAGTACTCTATCCCTCCATCATTATTAAATTTTTAAAAATATTTTGCTATCCTAAGCGTTAATGGCGCTAATGGGGGGCAAGACGCAAGAAGCTGGCACCGCGTCACTCAAACGCGCCACCAGCTGGGGGGCAACTGGGGTACATAGGCCCCACCCAAAATTACCGACAAAGATTTAAAAAAAAATAATAATATAAGCTAGTGATGAGTTAAAACTCACCACCAGCTTGGGGGGCAATTGTTGGGGGTGTGACTAAGGGACTGAGCGCACAGACTAAGCAGGAGGGCGCATAATCGGCGATGCCCAACGCTCGATACCCGCTACAGGTATATAAGGGCTTGAAGCCCTCCAAAGAAAGGGACTTCTCTCCTCTCTCCTCACTTTACACTTTTTCTACTATCTCTCTATACTTCATCTCTCTATCTGCTCTCTCAACTCTCTCCACAAACCGACACTAACTTGACCGTCGGAGCTTAATCCGGGGGGCAACCCCGACTCTTTCACAGGTTCTTTCCCTCCCGACGAGATCAGACGAACGGATCGTGAGTCAACCCCACACCAACAAATATCATTGTTCATGCCGGAGCTAGATGGTTCAAACAGGTGCAGTGAGGAGCCATCCTGGTTCGCCCCATCAGCGGACTCGGGGCATTCCATGAACGAAACCAAAGCTCAGCCTTGATTCTGACCGTATGGACGAGGGAAGGGGCAGAGAGAGACTTGTCCACTCCATGGACCATGAAACACTCCTTCGTTTTTGTTTTTCCATATGCACCACAAAGCTATACTGAAGAACACGTTCCAGGGGAGGCCGGTTGGTGAGAGCTCGTCACAAGTCAGATTGTACTCCAGCCAGCTGTCCCACGAGCGACTAAAAAACATGTGCTGCGTATCCGCCCGGGTTGTGCGACTCCATAGAAATGCTGTCGGCGGACAGTCCCTGAAAAGATGAGGGAGTGTCTCTGTCTGGGTATAACATCTATAGCAAGAGTCGTCATGCGTCAGGTGTCGTTTCGTTCTTTCCTCATTTGAACTGATCTTCCCCTGCGCAACCAACCAAACAAAGCATCGAACTCGCTCCGGCACCGGGAGTCGCCAGATTGTCTTCCAGATCTGTTGGGTGCTGCCGTCGGTAAGAGGTTGAAGCAGTTGGTATGCGCTCTTAGTCGAAAACCAAGAATCTTAACTTGGTAGCCTAGTGGAGCGTCGATATTTGAAGCATTTACTATTGCGAATGCGTAAGAGTATTAATATTTAAGGAGGGTGCCGATGTTGGCTATGACTAGCCAACGACAGAGACTCTACGATGACTTGGTTAGAATCGGCGGCGATGGGACGATATGGTGGTGGCATCTGGTGATGTCGAAGTGGCCTTTTCCAGGCTAATTCCATGAAAAAAGATGGTCACCAAATAGTCGAGCTCTTACTTGAGAAATCTATGCTCTTGTAATAAACAAGTCGTGAATTTTGGATGCTCTGTAAAAAAGTCGCATTTTTGCGAACTAGTGTGTGAGTGTCGGGGCTGCGTATGCGAATGAGTTCATTTGTGTAATATTTTTTCCTTTATGAAATCTTGTGATTCACTTAATTTGTGTGCCCCTTCGATGTTAACCAAGTGGTTTATGAAATGAATTTGTTCAAAAATTATCGTTTTAATCGGTTTGCTACGGGATAAGCAAATGGTAAGTGTGTGGGAATCTAATAAGTGCTCATTTGTACATATTGACTCTCGACTCTTGACTTTCTCTTAACCATTTATCTTGGAAACACTCTCTCGTTAGTTAATTTTACAATTAATATATTTGTCTGACCCGAACTTCTTTCATATTTAACATCCTGACCAATCCTTTTGGTAATTAATATCGTGGCCCGAACTAACCATACACTTTACTAATTTGGCCAAACCCGAGAGTTGACCATTAGTTTTGAGCCATGTCACTGTCTAGTCAGCATAAATAAACTTAAAAATTTTCTAAATTCCACGCAATTCTTATAATTAAATTAAAATTTAAAATACAAAAATTGAGAAACATAATCCCTCATTCCCATCCCGAGGAGGTTGCTCTCTGCCAAATCCGGTAGTGGAGTTGACCGAGAGTGGTGTCGTCCTGGACCCAACCAGAGCTATTTCTTAAAAAAAATTAATTAATTTGTAATAGTTTTTAGGAATTATGTGGAATTTAGGATTTTTTAAGTTTATTTATGCTAATTGGGCAGTGACGTGACGGGTTGACCGTCAAACTAACAGTCAACTCTCGGGTTTGGCCAAATTAGTCAAGTGTAGGTTAGCTAGGGCCACAATGTTAAATACCAAAAGAATTGATCAGGATGTTAAATATGAGAAAAGTTTGGGCCATACAAATATATTAATCATTAATTGTATGATAGTTTATGTTCCTTTGTAATATTTCAGGTCCTAGCGTATAGTGAAGGATTGAAAGCGAGTTTCTAGACATTTGAAGGTGAAAAGGAACCAAAGAGGTCTAAAGGAAATGGTGACGTCCAAAATATTGAGAATCACGAGCGTGACTTTTGAGCATAAAGACTGTAAAAAACCCAAGCCTCTATTGGAAAAACAAGATCCTTTTCTTTTACTCTACTTTGGCTATAAATAGGTTGCCGGTATTTTTTTAAGGGGAGAATTGAGTTTTAGACTTTCAAACACCCAAGTGAGAAACCCTGAAGAGAGGGAGAGCAATCCTAGAGAGTTTTGGGGAGCAAAAATGAGTTCCTTATTGAATCAATTTTTCGTTGAACAAGTATTATTGATTTATGCTTTGACCTGGGAGAGAGGATACATGATTAGGTTAACATAGCAAACACTGATTGAAAGAAGGGGAACGATTGCACGAGAGTGAAGTGAGTCTATTCATTTCTTTGTATTTGGCATCAATTCAATAAAGCGAGTCTAGATCGAATTGTGTTGTTTTAGTTGAGGATAAAGTCCCTCTAAGCAATAGATTCGATCGAGATTCAAGACTTGTAAAGGACTCTCCGCATTATAAACAAAGAGAGGAAGAAGTTAGAGAACTATTAATCATCAATCCTGTTTAGGGGAAATCATTGTTGAAGTGAGCTTCATACCTTGTAATTAGTTAGCTAAACCTTTTCTTTCGTTGTTTGTTAAAGTTGTTTAATCATTTTTAAACCTGAACTAACTAGTTAAACCGAAAGTAAGTATAGAATTTAGAGATTGTAGGAGTATCCTTGGATCTTTGTCTCTTTGTTAGAATTTAGGACGGTTCCGCGAACTGCCAACTGAGCTGCCCATAGAGTGGCACGAAAAGCCCTGTTGCTGTCTCGGCTAGAGTTAGCTTCTTTTGACTTTGTAGGTTGGTTTGTTAGCGGGGTGGGGAGGGCATTTGGGTAGTGTTTGTTCTATCTATCTTTCTGATATTACTCGGGCAAAAAAAAAGTAAATAATAGTACATCTAGAGACCCATAATAAAAATTCGCTACTAGTAAATTTTAGCGGACCATATATTATTCTTTCCGGTAATGATCTTGCAACAATCACTTCTCCTAAGAAACAACTAGATGATGCTTTTACAATTAAAGACTTAGGAGAACTGGAATATTTTCTTGGTTATGAGATAGCTAGGATTGCTTAAGGTTATTTCATTGTATTAGAAAACCCTACTCAATGAAGGAACCAAATACAAACATTTTACTTCCATCTTCAGCAACCGAAAAAGTTCTTACTTACATGTATGCAGTCCAATGTTCATGTCTTAGAAAACAGCTCACAAGATATACAATCAAATGCTGACTAAAGATGTATAGCAGTTCCTTCAATGACTTTCACGGATGCAGAAAGCCACCTTTATAGTAGACTTTCCAAATCACTCTCCCAGCCCAGAAGTTCCTATTTCTTCGTCGCTTCGATCTTCTTGTTCAGAAACCCACCTATCATTCGGAATTCTTATTAGCAAATCATTCACACTTAGACAGAGTCTAGGGCAGAAAGATCACAAAGATTGCAGAGGGACTGTCAAAAATCAGCCCTAACAGATCAGCATTAGGTAAACATAACAAGCTAGCATACAACAAGAGCAATCACCCGAGTGCTAACCTACATTCAGTTCTATGAGTATTTACTTATCTATACGAGTCTACTGCACTAAACATCAGATCTTACGACGTAACAAGGGTGCACCAAATTCATGACAAGATCCACCGTGGAACTCAAACATACAAGGAGGTGAAATGGTGAGTGATGACTGATAAGTATGTATGAACTCTACAATGCTTTAACACTTCCAAAAACTAGCTCCCATACACAAACTTCTCAAAAGAAATGAACACAAGCTTCCTGGAACCACAAACTCTAGAACACATCACATTAACACCTGAAATTCCCAGAACTTTTCATGACACAAAACGAGTATCCACTTCAAGACCAAGCTGAAAAACCAGCCTATTGCTATTTGCTAAATAGTCTTCCTGCCAACAATGAAAGGAAGCAATTAATCAGTAGACGGCAAAGTGAAATGGAAGAGCTGAACCTGGTCTTGACACAAGGTTTATACGGGAGCGCGGTCCTTCGAATTTCCAGTTATCTTCATCCAATGAGCTAACTACCTTGTTGAGTGCAGCTGCTAAATCAGCTTTCAGAGCTACACACAGACAAGACACTTCAGAAGCTCAAGAACTGGACATTTGGAAGGGGAAAACCTGTAACTCCATAACAGATTTGCAGATATCAGCTGGATTTTTTTCCTAAGATTCGAGAAATTGAAACACGACCTAAACCTAATGTTCCCATGGCGGAAATAAGCAGACCCAGATGATGAGTTGCAGCAAAATGAACGCAGATATGAAGAAAGCTGGAGAATCTTAGAATCCCTAACTATTAACATTTAACAGAGAAAGAAACGCACCGAGCGTCGCCTCGTCCTTGCGATCCTGAATGGAGATGAGATCAGATGGGAAGTGGAAATCTTCCATAGCGCTACCACTGCTCCCGCCGCCGCCAACGACGGCTGTAGTGGAGACGGAGGAATGCGCCGGCGAGCCGTTGCTGTTCATCGTAAGGTTTTGGCAGCTGGAAGAGAGGGTTGTAGTATTACAATCCCAAGCAGAGAAGGCGAGAGACGGAGAACAAAGTCTGGAGACGATGACGCCTTTTGTGGCGATGAGAAAGAGATGAAAGAGAGTTACAGACAGCGGCGGCGGCCGAGAGAGTGAGTAGAACGGCGGGCTGCAAGAAGGAATGGTTAGCGGGTGGGGAAACGTCTGATATAGTTGTGAAAATGGCAACAAGAAACGGTGAACACGAGACGTATCGGTAATTCTCAGACATCGAACTGGAAACGCGCAAAATACCGCGATTCGGTGCAGCATAATGATATTTTGCGACATATTGGGCGCCATTTTGGCCTGGGAGATGAAAACAGTGTAAACAATCGAATCGAGAATATTCATTTGTATGAAGAATTAACAAACAAACATTCCAAGAAACAGAAAACCAAAACACACTATATAATCACGCTATGCAGGAAAGAACAATACAATATATATACCACCACCACCACCTCAAAAGATCAACACTTTCATTCAGCCATTGTCTCAGTAAAAAAGAAATCAACCAACAAAGACATTATCAGAAGAAGAGATCGCTTTCTTTTTCCCCCCTTTCACCACAGAGAATCGCTATTTCCGTTGAAAACTGAGCCATGCAGGTACTCAACCATCGTTGAATGAGGAAGAACCAAGGATTAGGCTGCAAGCACTACGATCACGATGAGGAGCACGATCCCAAAGATGACCAAGAGTAAGCACGTCTGCAAATCAGAAAAAAACCCAGAAATGGTTAAGCGTGTCGGATTGAGGACACAAACGCGGAAGAAGAAAAGATGGGAGGGAGGAGAAGTATGAACACAGGTTTACCAGGGATGAATTTGATTTTTGGGTTTTTGCAGCTTTAGCGAGCTGTTGTCTCCCTTGTGATGTTGCAGCATGGGCATTATCTATGTGGGAACCTATATCATCTGCACCATTTCCATAATGCTTTAGTACCAAGAGCAGCAAAAAGGGAGACATCAACAGATTTATAGAGCAAGGGAAGGGAATTAGCAACTCACCGATCATAGTTCCTTGCTCGTGGACAAGGACCGCAAGATCTTTGAAAATCTCATTCACCTCGCCAATTTGCTGCTGAATCTCGTGTATTCCCTGCTCTCTTTCTTCAATGATTGCCTCGTTGAAGGCGATCTCATTGTCCAATAGTACGACTTCTTGTCTGCAGCAGATGAAACATCAGTTGCTAAAGTAAACATAAATTACACTAATCTTCTAACCTCAACTTTTCAGCTTGAATTACAAGGACAGTGATAATTGCAGTTCTGAGCATATTCTCCTTTTTTCTCCATAACGAGAAATATGTATTTGGTTGAAGATATTATAGGAGGATCGTTTAGCACTCAAGCCAAGATTATAGGAAACTAGTGTTTAGTGTTTACTTTAGATCTAGAATGGCTGAGGTTTTTAGAAAGAAGTGATCCTTAACGTAGTGCCTTTTCAGGGTTTTCTTCAACATATAGGAAAGCAAGGGACAAAAGTGTTCATAAGTGGCCTATATACTGAACTAATGATCTACAGTTTCCTTGGAGTTCCTAATCCATACAGTCCACACCACGTAAACAAGTTACAGGAAGACTCATAGTGAATTTGCTTAATAATACAGCAGCATCAGATTATATAAAAATAATTGACAATCAGCATCACAACTCACCTTTTTGTCTCCATCAGAAGAGAACGTTCTTCAGGATTCTTATCCGAACTTGCATCTACCTCATTGGCTGTGTAACTGTAAGCATTTAAAAGAAGCACCATAAGGAACATGCAAGGGCTTCCACAACACTAATAACCTACTCAACAGTAACAATCTTAAGACGAAATTCTACTGCATAAACCAGTGATAATATCTGCCACGTCCAAAGACAATTACCTGGAAGGAACATTTGCTTGGGCAGCAAATGGGGAATAAGCTGTTTCCCTCTCAGCTGAGAGACGCTGGGCCTTCTGAAACTCTTTCAGAACTGCTTCAAAATCCTTTGCAAGTTTGGCATCAGCAATCTTCTTACGTTGCTGGATATAGAGCCAATAAACAAGATATTATTTCAGAAGATGTTAAGCTACCCAAAAATTCAAAAGGAAACCAACAATATCGATCAACCCTGTACGAACTTATTTATAGGAAATGCCACAAATCCCATTTGCATAACCAGAAATGTGGCAGAACGAATTACAGAAGCAAACAACAACACGTGAAAAAACAACTTCAGCAGTTGTTCCATCATGCAGACTTACATCAACTCCAGAATGGTGATCCACATCACTCGCTTGTTTAAGTCTTGCAGAAGTATCTTTCACCAATTGCCCGATGTGTAATCTTGTCTTGTGCCTGCATTTCAACGATTGTCAGGAACTGCCATCAGTAGGACATCCAGACAAAGTAGGAAGTCACTAATTCTAACACCTACCACATCCGAAAACTGTGCATATTATGCTCAGTTTACACTGCCTACACGTGAGCCAGAAAGAGACTCCTAAACAAGTACCCAGAAATGGCGGCAAAGCATCCCACCAATTCAATGACAATTTAACCATCCTAAGAGCTAGATCATCCCTAGCTGACCGAACCCACTCTTCATCAAGTACCCATAAACGCCGGCAAAGCAATCTCTCACAGCTCAGCCAAATGCAGAATTCAACCCCAATTTAGATACTCAAAAGTCAAACATCCCAAGAAACCCCCCTCAAAAATCACAGCTCAGCCAAGGAAACTCACAGCTTCTCACGCAGCTCAGGAGTATCCTTGGGAGTGCCGAGGGTATTCACCAGGCGTTGGAAAGTCGAGACGGCGGTATTGATCTGGAAAATCCCGGACGCGACCGCCTGCGTGGCGTCCTGTTTCCCGTTCCTCAGGTCCCTCCTGCCGACGCCGCCCAAGGTGCGCCCGGACTCAAGATCTTGAAAGCTCATGGTGATTTTGATTGCGCGCGCGGTGAAAACGAGAAATCACAGTCGGGAATTGCCGAATTTTGCCCCCCCTCCCGCCGAATTCCACTTTCCGCCGCGAGCAGAAAAAAAGAACCAGAAACCCAATCGAGTTCCCGAGCGGGAGAGAGGAAGAATCGATTGATTGGCGATGGATTGTGAGGGTTTTGGAGATGGCGAAATTGAGGGAAGGAGTTTTAGGGTTCGATTATGTGCCGGGGAAATGTAAAGGGGGAAACTTTACAAACTGGAAAGGGAGAGGGGAAGAGAAAGCGCAATGACGGAGAAGGAAGGTCGGACAATTATTTATTTGATTTTTTTTGTTTGTTTGTCCTTCTCTTCTTGAAATTTCCTTTTTGTCGACGAACTGTTTGTTTAATTGTTTTTTTTTTAATAATGTCCATAAAAAATTTTGTTTTTTTATAATGTAATGGGTCACAGACGTCGGACATCATTTTTGGGTCCAATTAACATAGCTAATATTGGGTGGGCATTTGGTCGGTTCGGTTCAAACCGAACCGAAATTATGCATACAGGGTCCTCGAATTCTATCAAACCTCAAACTTCGGTTCGGTTTTTCATACAAAATCGAAATAGTGAGGTTAGCTTGTATCTTCTCTTTTTAAATTATTTTTCACCCCTAATGTAAAAAATAAATATGCATCATCAATGATAAATCAAATATTTCAACACATAAGTCATAAAACACTAACATGATTCAAATAGTTAAATATCATAATAAGTAGAAACATAAAAATCCACCATTTAGAGCTTGCAATTATAATAATTCAATTTTTCGGTTCGAAATTCAGAAATTCAGTTCTGTCGAAAGGATCCTGATTTCCGAAATATGTCATTTTCTCTTCCGAATTCCGAACCTAATAACATTAATTCTGGTTTCGGTTCGGTTTATATTCGATTCGGTTTTACCGAACCGTATGCCCACCCCTAGCTAATAACGAGGGAAAGAGAGGTGAAAGAAATTTTTGGTGTTTGCTCGATGGATTTGGTGAAAGATTTTGTGATAAATTTGAAATTATAATTGATTTTTTTTTTAAAATACACTGTTTGCTTCAAGTATTTAGAAGTAATAAATTCTCTGGAACCCATGGAATTTGAGAATCCAAATTCGTGGGTCCCACAGACTTTAAAATCTCACTTCTTCAGTTGGAAGTAGAAAACAATCCAACAATCTTAAACAAACAATCCCAACAATCTCCAAAACGAAACGAAACCTAAATTTGATTTTCCTTTCCGGTGATAAAGTGCAGGTCAATTATGATTGTATTGGTTTCCAATAATATATCATCACAGTAAAAGCAAATTGCAAATGAAACTAGTTTACTAATTAACTAATTGCAAATAAATTAAGTAACTAAGCAATGAAGAAAACTCTAATATGAACGTCCAAATTCACTAATTAATCTCAACAAATCTAATTCGGCTTCAAGCTTCTAATTCATTTTAAATTTTAATCCAAGTTTCTATATACATTAATTATTGTATCTTTAATGTGCTAGTTATCTCTATTGAGAATTAATTAGTGCGGCCTAATTAATCATCTAACTCGAAATTTGATTTTCCTATCACGACTATACAATTATCTACTTAATTCATTGTGGTTTCGATAAACAACTACGATTCATGTGAATGCGTTTTAGTTATCATGCGCTCTCTATCGTTATTTACCTAAATAACCATAAATCATTGTGAACGTAGACAAAAAAAAATTATTAAAATTCCACAAAATAGAAAATGGAAGAAAATTAGGTTTGAATTAAATCATCGATAACAAATACTCAAATAGGTGTACATCCCAAATGCGTTTTTCTAAAAATTCAGAGTTTAATTAATGATGAAAAAATGCAACCATGTTCTCGTTCATCATGATTGTATGCAATTGTGAGGATTTTTTCCCGTATAAATTCGAGTATCTAGTATAAATTTATTCGTTTTTGTGTTATATGACATTTTGTTGTATCAAACCCAATAGTTTTTAAGCCTCTTGAAGTTTGATTTTCACTTATTTTGATTGCGGATTACTCACATTTTGTGCTCGAACGACTGCATAAATTACCATTGTAAACCATGTATAACTTACCTATTTAGCATGTCAATTTACATGAACGATACTTGCAAAGTTGCAATTAGAGGTGGCAATTGGATCGGATTAGTGGATTGGATTGGTGGATCCATGGATCAAATGGATTGGATCCAATGGATTGGCGGATTCATGGATTGGATCAAATGGATTGGTGGATTGATCCATGAATCCAAATGACATCCAAGGCTTGGACCAAAATATAAAATTTAAAAAGTTTTGGTACTAAAATGTCATAATGAAAAATTGTAGGTACCCAAATGTAATTTTCCAATGATATTTTTCGTATAAAAATATAAATTTTAGGTACCAAAATGTAAAATATAAAAATATAGGTACCAAGTCGTAATTTGCCATTTGGATCCATGGATTGATCCATGAAACCACCAATCCAATTGGATTTGGATAAAATGGATTGGATTAGGTGGATAATTTGGTGGATGGATTGAATTGGATTCATGAATTTGGATTCTAATTGCCACCTCTAGTTGCAATATTAGGATAACGAACATAAGCCTCCACAACCTTGGCGAAGTTAAAAATCCAAATATAAGGCTAGATTTGTTAGAAACCAAAACTTATGGACCAAATTGTAAGTCACTCCATAATTTTATATATCAACCGTTTTGTGTAACGAACCCGTTACTTGATTAAAGAAAAGACGACATTTCCCGAAAGGAAGAGAGCTTTATCCCAGGTCCCGCGGTTTTAACATCCAAACGCGGCCTTTCCCCAACTTCCAAACAAACTTTCTCACGATTTCCTCTCCTCTCTCAAATCTTCATCCCTGTTGCCAAATTTCTTTTAAACCTCTCTCTCTCTCTCTCTCTCATTTACGCTCAATAGGAATCTCTCTGCGTATCCCACTTCTTAATTTCCCTACCTTTTGCCCCCAGATCGTCGCCGAATTCCTTCCCTGCGTCGCCGGTTATCATGTCGGTAAGTGAAATTTCCTCTTCCCTGGTTTATGCCTGTCGGAACAGATCTGCGCACCCCATTTTCGTTTCTGGGTTTCATCATATTTGTGGCCCGTATCGTTGCAATATTTCGTAGATTTGGAAATGACCCAGTTAACCATTTTCGTCTCTTTGATAATCCATTGTTGGTTTGATGGTTCTCTTCGTTTTGCCAGTTTGACATGATTCCTCTTTCGTCGTTGAATTTGAATATGTGTATAGCATGAACATGGATATGAGAATTGTGTGTTCTATTGGGTTTGTTGTTCACAATTGGGGTTTAGATGGTATGCTTAGTACGTTAACAAGCAAGTTTAGATGATTTAACGGGAAGGGCCAGATCAAAGCCAATGCGTATTTTAACTTAATGCATAGAAAAATAGGGGGATATTTGAATTGGATTACGGAGGTGGTGGTCATTATTCTTATATGGAATTGATTATTTGGTTTAGTAATTAGACGTGCAATTATCAATTTATGCCTGGTCGATCTTGGGAATCTCTCTTTGACTTGGTTGGTCATCATATATACTTTTAGTTTAATGATTAGTAGTTTGATTGTTGAATCCTGATACACTGATATGTTGTTATTGTATGACCGTATAATAATTTAATGCATTGTTGTTGCAGGTGAAAACTGTGAAGGTGAGTAATGTTTCCGTAAAGGCGACGGATAAAGATCTCAAGGAGTTCTTTTCTTTCTCTGGTGATATTGAACATGTTGAGATGCAAAGGTAAATTTACTTGTGACTTAGAATCAAACTCTGTTAGTCCTGTTTATCTTCTGTCTTTGAGACACTGATTCAACCATGCTTTTGTATAGTGTTGATGAGAAATCTCAAGTGGGATTCGTTACCTTCAAAGATACTCAAGGCGCAGATACTGCAGTCCTTCTCTCGGTAATTGAATTTCCAAGAACCCTTCATATGCGTGCGCATTTGTTAGTTGCTAGTGTATTTTCTTTTGGTTTGTGATATTACTAGTCGGTATGCTATGATGTTTCAACAAGCATGTCCTTATAGTATGATTACGAACAAGCTAGAGTGTATACCATGTCGTTTATCCTGTTTTAGTCCATAGTTGAACATTTCGGTACAGTCAGTTAGAGTTGGAATCCACTCATGCTTAGTAAGCATGTCCTGGATGACTTGCATGTTGGAAATTCAACTCTGAAACTTCACATATCCTCTAGCTTTTATGATGTGCCCTTCATTTGGGTTTATCAGGGTCAATATTACTTGATGTGGTCTGATGAGGGATTAAAGACCATTTCCCGACATGTGGTATGTGAGAGATCAAGAGCATGTTCCCTGAACATGTGTTGACTCCATCAGTGACGGGTTTGGGGGTTTTTTAAGCGCTGGTCTAAAAGTGCCTGTAACACTTTGTGTTTGGTTGATTTAATTGAATCCCAGTATGGGTACAGGATCTGTTTACACACTCAATTACTTCATCTACATTGTTGTTTCTTTGTTAGGGAGCAACTATAGTTGATCTTGCCGTCACCATAGCACTAGATCCAGATTACAAGCTACCGCCAGCCGTCTTACTGGCAATGGTAAGAATATCTCACAACTTGCACTGATTCACAAATGGACAATTTGTGATCAGTGGGACTGATTGTTGTTGAAATGGTAGATTGTTCCACATAGATAGAATGTGGATTGTTTTGAACATGTTGATTCTGATCACTGTAAGTTCAAATGTTACAGGAGAACAATCCAGCTGCACCCTCTGATCCAGACTCAGCTCTCCGAAAGGCAGAGGACGTGGTCAGCAGCATGCTGGCCAAAGGCTTCATATTGGGCAAAGACGCAGTCAACAAGGCCAAATCCTTCGACGAGAAGCACCAGCTGACATCAACTGGCTTAGCCAAAGTCGCCTCCTTCGACAAGAAGATAGGCCTCACTGACAAGATCAGCGCCACCAGCACCGTGATGGGTGACAAGGTACGAGAAGTTGACCAGAAGTACCAGGTCTCTGAGAAGACCAAGTCTGCACTCGCGGTTGCAGAGCAGAAGGTCAGCAGCGCTGGTACAGCAATCATGAAGAACCGCTACGTGTTCACCAGTGCTGCTTGGGTGACGGGGGCATTCAGTAAAGTGGCCAAAGCAGCAGAAGACGTGGGTCAGAAGGCCAAGGAGAAGGTTGGGATGGCTGAGGAAGAGCAGAAGAAGAAAGTGGTGGAGGATTTTGGTTCAGTTCACTTGGCCGATTCCCCGAATGTACCATCAAGCCATGATCATGATGATCAGAAAGAGCAGAAGTCGTCCGCCCCTGCTGATCCGAAATTTCCTCCTAGTTCTGACATCAAACTGACATCGCCTTCTCCCAAATCTCCTTCCAAGCCAGCACCTGCTCAAGGGTTGATCCTTTGAACAATCTCTCTTGAGTGTTCGCTATCTCTGATCTCTGATTTGCTCAAAATGGATGGAGTTGGATCATGAATTTTGTCCAATTAGTTATTGGAGATTTCTGAATGCAATACATCAACTACAAAGAACACACTACTATTTATATATATTTTCTCATTATCATATCATTAACCTCATTTTTTACTTGTTCTTCCATGTGTATATATGCAATGGACGAAAGATGGATTTTTACTTGTTCTTCCATGTTTATATGCAATGAACTATCCAGGACGTGCTTACTAACAATTAATTCGGATGAAATCTTCGACAAAGATCAGATACCTATAAACGATATAGTAGAGACTAAAAAATACCACTAGGCCTTTTTTTTTTCCGCTTAACCAATCATTGCCATAAGTTACATCTTATCCCATTGCTCAACCCAAAAAAGCTTGTTATTCATTTGACTATTCTCTTAGGTTAGTAGAATCATCAAATCATCTATACAAGCATACCCATAACCCACCGTAAGAACACCAATTCATCATCATCCTTCATGTTTTCCATTCATTCCAATGCTTGTTTGACCACAGCAGCAGCAGCAGCACTGCCACCGGAAGCAGCAGGACGTTGAGCATTTCGTAGAGCAGCACCTGGAAGACGGCTTCCAACAACATTGCAGAGGGCAGCAGTACTTCCAACACCCTCCTCCCATGCTGCATTTGATGCTGCAGAAGCGAACTTTTATGCACGTGGGAGTAAAACATGTTGGGCATCTCGGGCGCCAGAGTCTAAACCTGCAGCAGCGGTGGCGGGTTGATGACTTGGGTTTTAGGTTGAGGCACTGACGTATTCTTTTGAGACGTAGTTTTGTGTTCATGTTTTCCATTTCATGTATGAACCTCCAAAGATGGCGGATGTAATCAGGGTATAGCTCCAAGTTACAATGGCCGCCCCCTTTAATCCATAAAGGTTCGTATGGTTCCCTTGCCAGTTTCCATAGTCCATCCCCGTGTAACCAGTTCACCACATCATCCTCCGTGCCCTGCAACAACATAAGAAGAAGAAAACGACAAGCGGGGAAACTTGAGAGTTTGAAACTCAAGAGAGTAATGGTCTTACCCATCTGAAGAACAACTGCAGAGTAGAATATGACAAGTGATCAAGATGGAGGTAGAAGGCTGTAACGTATAAACAAAAGAACATGATGCACTGAGATTCTTACTCCTCTCTTACCAATGGTTCATTTCATAATCTTTCCTCTCCAATCACTACTGTTCCTAAAGAAACTTCTAAGCATGTAGTATCTTACTTTGGGCATGTAGACACACACTTTCTAATTTGAAGGTACCAGGTTTGTCCTTATACCGTATGGCCATCAGGAACAAGCTTTCATCAATGCAACAGATTAAGGCAAATGAATTTGAAGCTTTGACATGGCTATAACATAAGTTCGGTAAGCATCACATGGCCAACTACTTAGAATGCCTCCATTCAAGCTATAAACCTTAAAGAGCATAGTTCAGCAATGAATGTGAATATCTGAGGCATGGGTATTGGTGGTAGACTAGAACAAGCTTTCCTAGCATACTACAGCTCCTTCCTATATATTAGGCGAGACCTAAAGTTACTGGCTCGATTTGCTTGATCATCCATTAGATACAAGAGGCTAGGAAAAGCGAAATCAAACTAAGATTATATTTAGTGGCCTCACTCATTATGAATGGTCAGCCAGACCGTCAACTTCCACCATTTGAAGATTAAAACACAAAAGAAATAGACTCTTGTACCAAACTCAGAAGCCACCATAACTTAGCAAACTCGATAGTCGATTCAGGTAATGGGAAAGGAAATAATTTCATCAACCAACGTACGAGAGAAGTAGCACAAGTACAAAAGAAAGAGAAGGATAGCTTACGTGTATCACTAGCACAGGACATTTCACCACCTGAACTTTGTTGATGTTCTGCATATTCCAAAACAAACCATCAATTAGAGGGCACAGAAAGCACGAATGAGACATGCTAAGATGTAAAATGGTTCAATAGGTTACTTACCCTGTATATGTCAAAGCAAAATGCACAGTTTACATGGCAGAGCACACGTAAACCGGAAAGAATGGCACTGTGCAAGACTACCCCCCTCAGTCTTGGGAGCTTGGCTGCCAGGTGCAATGTCGGTCCGCTACCAACAGATTGTCCGTATAAAATCAGGTCCTCCTGACTAACTCCATACTCTGTCTGAAGGCACTGATACACTGCTTCTATGTCAGCATACGTGTTGGACTCACTCGGCTGCACCATCATGTTAATCCATTAACAAATTTCCACTAAGTTTTACTGATCCATAGTAAGAAGCTATGCTTTAACACTAACAATGGTCTCATACAAATGAACAAATGAACAAGGGAAAAAAGGGAGAAAATGTTAGTTTGCTGGGAGACATTGTTCTTTTTTTTTTTTTTTTGTCTGGCAAATACATGACTTCTGTAGATACATCGACACAGGATTTTGACAATACAAGCATTCTTAGAAGTTCACCTATGGAAGAATACACGATTTCATGTATATCAATGTATTATTCTACAATCCCTGGTGATTTCTGCAAGAAATTCCACATGAATATATAACAGTGCATCACTGCTAGTTTCCCCTTTCTCATTTTTACAGCAGTTGATTTTATTACCATTTCTGGGCGTTAATTGGCTGAGAGTTATATCCATACTAGTATTGCTTTCCCATTCGGAAAAATATTATGCATTTGCGATGCCAAGACACCATCATTGTGAAACAACTGACAGTCTGACACTCCTCATAGTAGAAGATAAGGCATGAACTACTTGGTACTTTCAACATTAGATCAGGGAGAACACTTTATGAACAGCAGCTTACCTTACCAGTGGAGGCTCCATAGCCAGAATAATCGTATCTGCATTTCAAATGGCAGACATAATCATACAATCAGATAAAACAAAAATGAACACACTTAAGCCAGCAGCAAACAACATATAAGCAAAAAACTTCGAAGACAAGACATGCGCTGCCCACCTACTGATTATGGGAAAACTCAATTGTCAAAAAAGATTCAAACTTTCTTCTAGATCTGTGTTCTACTGTGTGTGATAAAGTATAAGCACACGCATGAAAAGGGCACAAAAAAAGTCGCAAAAGTGGATTTGGTAAAAAAAACCCAATCATGCTTGGGTAAAATACAAGAAAAGGGGAAGAAAAAAAAATCCATCAATTATCCTTCTGTGCTATCAAATTTTCGTTTTGATCAATCAAACAAAAAATTACAGAAGAAGGTAAGATGAGGAAAAGAATGGTAACTTATAAGAGGGAAATGTGAAAAGGTGTGGGGATGGAAGGGGAAAAGACTCTGATATCAACATGGGGAACTATTCAACCAGTCTTTCTCTACTCTAGTGTCCCTTTCTATTCAACCAGCATTTAAAACAGAGAAGCAAAAACTGAAGGAAAAGGAAAGCTCATCACTTTAACTTTCCTCCATTTCATTGCCACCTAAAATGATCCAAAATTAAAAGAATCCCATACATGAGCAACAAGGAAGTGTAATGCCAATGCCAATCATTCTTTAAGATCACAGATCTAATAACTCCTACAAAGTCACACCCTTGACCAACATAGAGAACCCAATCCCCTCAACAAAAACCAAGCATTTTGAAAGAACCCATTTCTCCACCAATGCTAATAATCAAAGCCCATTTCAGCAGACAAGAGAAATATGGAAAAGGGCGTACTTTCCAGAGAAGAAAACAGAGCTACTAAGTACTAACCCAATGAGATTGACTCTGAGGTTGACCTTGAGCTGGACAAAGAGGTCATAGAGCTGACCAAGATCAGCAGCATTGCCATGAGAGTAAAGCAGAGTGAGCCTCGCGTATGGGTTCCTAAGGTAGAAAGCAACAATCTTGTTGCCCCGTTTGGTGTCGATCAACAGCACATCTAACGAATTGTCGTCGGCATGAGGTAGGGGAAATGAAGGAGAAGGGGAAGTAGAGACAACGGTTAGCTTATTACTCCCATTCCCACCTCCACCTTCCTTCTTCTTGATCTGGTACGTTGGTGGGGTTGGTGGGAAGAAGGCAAATTTGGCAGCTAGCTGTGATAGCCCGCAACCCATCAAAAGTTTCATTCAAAGCTACCTATATCCCCCTTTTGATGGTGGAAAAATGAAGCAACTAACTTTGAGTCATTTTCAGTTCTTCAGCCAGAGACAGAGTGGGGAAAATTTTGGGTTTTCTGGGTTCTGTGCAAAACAAGAAATGGTGATTGTGGGCTCTGTTTTTTAGAAGATTCAGACGGAAATGGAGATAGTGAGAGAGAAAGAGAGACAATAGTGGGGAAATGGGGTTCTTTCTAGGGTTTAGTGGAGATTTGTAACGGAAAGGAAGACAAAGTGCAGGAGCTCCTGGGAGCTTGCTTGACTGGTAAAATAGGGAGGAGAAGTTATTAGGTTGAAGGAAGTAAATGAAGTTAGAATGGTTATTGAGAGAGAGAAGAGAGGAGAAGCAGTGTGAGTTTTGGGGTGAAGGAAGGAAGAAGGAAAGAATGGGGTTTTCGGGGTTTCCCTTTTTCTTTGTTTTCTCTCTGAGTGAGCTCAGAAGTTCTGACACTTGCTGTTGTGAGAGTTCTGAGAGGGAGGTGAAAGACTGAAAGGTGGCAAACTCTATACCCTGCTTCTGTCCTTTGTTTTTTGCCCGTTTTATTGTCTCGTTGAAATAAATAAACAAAAAAGAAATAAAAGGAGTGATAACTAAATGCAACGAGCTGATTAGGCCCATAAGAAATTAAGGGGTCGTTTGGAACTTGTGATTCTTCAAATTGATGTATTAGGTCAATTAGTGTATTATCATTTGATGTATTGATTCAATGCATGTATTAGGAAAATACTTTGTTTGGAAGAGCAATGATGAAACAAAAAGTTGGGTAGACAATCCCTCATTAACAATCTCACCTTTTAGTAGAGATTTATAATCATTCATTTTGAGTGATTGTAGGTGGGCCCAACAAAAAGGTAATGCATGCATTCTAACTCAAAGTGAACAAAAAAAACGACTTAATCTTATCATTACATGTATTTGCTAAATACCTCACTTCAAATCTCAACCTCCAAACGACCCCTAAGAATACATGCCATGTTAAATTGTTAATATTATGGGTTTTGTACTCATGTACAATGGCAAGGGGATTTTGAACTTTAGGTACATGTTACTTTTGGTTCTACCGGTTAGCGGTGTTGAAATAGTTATCATGGTAATTATCAAATTAATTAAGTTTAAATTTTATTAATCATGAAATAAAATATTATAACCAAACCATTCAAACTAGTACAACAATCAAATTAATCAAAATAAAACTTAATCGATTTGATTAATTGGTTAACCAGATTAACCAATATAACATCACATTATCATTAAGTGATAAAATTTTCGGTTGATGCATCAATTCACAATTTATATGAGGAATAAAACATTACAATGAACACATAGTTATATAGTTAACTTCTTATAGAAATACACGCAATTAATACAATTATCTTACAGTCAATAGAATTATTCACCTAACAACAATATATGTCAATAGTATGGACTTAATTAATTGTTGTTATTGTGTGAATTGAATTAGTCTCTTAGCAATTATCATAGGTTGAAAAAGACTTTCCTTTCAAGTTTTCATTTAATATATTGTATGAGTTTTATCTAAATTGGGTGTTCATATATCATGGTCTACACTACACTCTCCAAATACAAGTATACAGTATATGAACAATATTTATCTTTATTGTTGATGAGCCTAAAAGGAAGGAATATTTGGCTCTTGAGTGGTTATGCCAAGTATTAGGTATGTGTATATAACATATATTATATATATGTATAATTACTTAACTGGTGGTGATGAGCGTAAAAGGAAGGAATGGTTGACTCTTGAGTGGTTATTCAAGTATTAAGTATGTGTATATAACATATATTAGATATATGGATAATTACTTAACTGGTTAATTTGGTTTGATTGGCTAGGAGTGTCTGAAACCAAACCAAACCACCTAAACCAAACAAGCTAATTTTTTGAACCAAACCAAACCAATTATCTAAATTAACAAAACCAAATTAGCCAAATATCACCGGTTAAAACGGTTACCACGGTAACCACACGTTTGAACACCCCTACTACCGGTATACGAATTTATATGTGTGGTTATTATGATACATGAACTTCTTATTTATTGATAATTCTAATTAGAGTGGTTTACATGTCATAAGTACAATTAAATTATCAATATTATATGCCAAATAATATGCTGCAAATTTACCACATGACACTTAAAATAGATCTAAAAATGGATAAGATAAATGATTGTCTTTCCTTTATTGTTTCTTGATTTTTATATAGAATTATTTATACATTTCTTAAGAATATCTTATAGAATGATGCAAAACTTTAGAGGAAGGAAACTATCATAAAAAAGAAAATCAAACAAAAAGTCGAGTTATACATAACTTGCATAATTGATGGTTTCGCGACACCAATACACGAGTAGATGAGAAGGTTAGTATTTTTTTTCTTTTTATTCTATCGGCTAAACTTTTTTGGAACTATGTAAATAGTACTTTCTCGCGAAGCTGCATACCGAAAAAATTATTATTCGGATTCAATCCGATTTACCCTCTCTCTGGAACATAAATCTCACTTTCTATCTATTTTACTAAGGATATTTTTTTCAGAATTAAATGTTTTTAATATTTTAATATGTTTCAAATTACACGTGGCATATGACACGGTATATTTATTTTTATTAATGACATGTATAAATCTGATTAGAATTACCAATAAATAAAAAGTTGATGTACCAAAATGAAAAAAAAATACAAATTCATGTACTAGTATGACCAAAAACAACATTAATATCCGGGATTACCAAATCATGAAAGTTAAAGAATCAAATTTTCATTCCTGTCCATATAATTGAACAATAAATGATAATATGAAATGTGTAATGCTTTTGGTACGCCATGAGTATCCTATTCCTATATTTTCTCTTCGGAAACCATCTCATTATAGGAAAAGTTTTCTTGTCACCTCTAGAGGCAAAACATCTAAAACCAATTTCTTACGTAATTTTTTACGCATTCACATCAATTGGTGATTATTCGTATAATATTATACTTTCTTTAATGAAAATCAAGCTTTATTCCATAAAAACAACTCTAACAGAAGAGCAATACAAGATTAGTATACCCATATGTACTAGCTACTATCACAGTGCATCGTTCACAAAAACAAAGCTACACCTCTACTTCTCTATAGAACAACAAACTACACGATATAGTACCATAGAAATGCAGGCCAGATAACAAACCATGCCGAAGAGAAACACCGACAAAGAGCAAAAACAAAGTGCGAAATCAACCACCCATAGGATCTGAACACTTGATCCAAATATAGTACACATATCCTTCTTGCTTCCAAACCAAACATAGTAGCACCAAGAACGACATCATCTCGTCCGATCACGGCGAAGTTAATGGCTATTGAGCACAACAATGGCATATGCTTCTGCTGCTTTCTGTGGATTGCTCAAAGACATTTACACAATAAATATCATAAACGAGATTACATGGTGGTGGACAGGAAAGCGAAACGGATTGTTCTGAGTTAGATAGGCAGAGGGAGGCAAGACAGAATTATCAGGCTCATAGAAGAGAAGAACATTCTACTGGAGCCACAAAACTAAAAAAAAAAAACACCACATCTCAACCGCAACAATTAGAGAAGACCCTACCTTGCACGATCCGACAGACCGATCTAGCCACACAAGCAACCAGAGGAAGCCGGAGGTGAAAGTAGTGAAGAGATAGGTTTCCAAACTTCTAACTTCAGATTCCAAGAAGAACAAGTCCAGGACAAAAAAAAAAAACCCTAGATCGAAACGAAGAACACTAATCAAACACAAAAGAAAAAAAAAAGTTACCAAACATAGAACAGAAAATGCCAATATATTTTCCCCCGTCAGTAAGAGAGAACATAAACAACAAATATAAAACGCCCCAAAATTGGAATGCATGCTTAATCATGTGTAGCGTGGCAGGAACTAACATGATTATTGTTAATGCTCGATCTTTCAAGTTATTTTTTGGCTTCATTTGTTGCACACCGACATCATTATTACATCTTTCAGGAAGCCTAAATCTAGACACTCTTTTAATGTACGAATCAAATTGATGTGATATGTTTGACAAATGGGGGTGGATCTTTTAAAAGAGGAAGTAAACCAAGAGAGTGTAGAAAGTAAAAAAAAGGCTGTTAAGAAAGGAAATTCTGGATGGCTCCTAACCAGGAAAATCATGGTTTTACTTTTATCTTGGGAAATATTCAACGAGGTTTGGAGTAAAGCACAGATGGTAATACAATGACAAGGGTTGATACCAAGGCAGTAGCAAAGGTAACAACAGAGACCACATTTGTATAGCTCATGATCCCACATGGTATTTTCCACACAACAACATCTGTTCTCAGTCTGTTGCTGTCACTGCTTGGCACAATCAAGCAACTTCTCTTCTCCGAGCTTCCTTCCATGCTGCAACTCACGAGCAAATCCGGTGTCCCGAATGCCACTTCTGAGTATCCACTTTCATGCAACGGCTGCAATTCCAGAATGAATTGAAACCATTTGAGCTTTTTCCATGTTCGGTTGTCGAATGAAGGATGAGAGAATTTTGAGCTTTACCGCATATCGGGCATGTAATGGGAGGTCTATTCTGATTCCGAGTTCAGACATGGCTCCGGATGAAGTGTTGTGCTTGAAATTCATGTGAATCTCAACTGCAGACCTATTTGAGGAAACCGAAGGCAACTCCAAATTTGTATCTCCGAAGACACCTATGGCAGCATATGCTGGAAAACCAAGTGCGAGATTAGCTAATCCACGAGGAACGGAAAGTAGAGAGACTTGCATTTGTCTAACAAGAAGTTCCTAACAAATTATTATTACCTCCATGATGGAGCAGGTGGTCGAGCTCGAATGGATCAGCAAAGACTCCAGAGGGCAGTCTCTCAATCATTACAAGCTTGCAAGACTGAAGAGGGAAACTTTGCGGAGGGATTTGAAGCTGGATTGTTGAGGATAGATGGCGATGAGAGCCTTCCCCAATCAAATGACGCTCCAAACCAGATAGTGTGAGTTGAGGATTGGGATCACCAGGCAGCAGTTTGCATGAGAACTTTGAGAGCTCATCTTGTAGTAGATCTCGGAAGCTAGAATCAGAAAGAACTTCGTGTTTTGAGAAATAAGACTTCAGTATACAATCCTGGAAAAAAACACAGTTAGCGTATCAGGGAAGAACTCAGTTCAGTTCATCATGTAGTTACAGCAGCAAGTAAAGAAGCGAGAATGGCACAGCTTCGTTAAGCAGAGATGAAAGATAGAAGGCAGAAATTTTCCTAGGTAACAATGATGAAGATATTCATCACAATCAGAATTTTATACAATGCAGAGATGGCATTAAAATGAGCTCCTATCATGTTTTGCTAATTTGAAGCTTCTGGAGGGTATTATATCTCCGAATCCTATCAGCAAAACATAGAAAGATAGTTGCCATTTCCAATCAAAACCAGCAAGCATGATTCTACCTTGAAACTTGGCCATACAAATGGAAGAACCGAATGAGATCGAGGGTTTCAAGAGAGCATAACATAATATCACCAACCTCCAATGATGAGCAGTCGCCACTAATAGACAGAGCCATAACAGTGAAGCAGCAACAGAAGAAGAATCTCCATAATATACCCATTTCAGAGCGCCTGGAAATCCACCATACTATTCTCATGGCAACTGAGAAAAGGTGGGGGAAAAGAAAGTCAACAATTCACAACTCAAATCTGAAATAAATTGCAATGCAGAAACATTTGAACCAATCATATTTCCAATACTTGGCAATACTCTCAACACTTTATAGAATGAAACTTTAAGCAACGTTCCAGAACTAGGAAGCTCAACAACTTCTGCTTCATCGTTCCAGAACTAGGAAGCTCAACAACTTCTGCTTCATCTAAGAATCACCAAAGCTACTAGCTCAATTGACCAAACAATAGATTCATTGAGATAGATTTCAGACATCAATACAACCAATTGGGCAAGAACTTAAGCAAGACCCAAATGCCATGTCGATACGAATTGCAGCAATTTGAACACAGAGTCGACTGAAAGAAGACAATTCGACAAAAATGGCGTAACCCCCAAATACACTAGCAAAGCAAACACAAGAAAATGAAGAAGTGGGGGGAACACAAACTTACCGAGCAAGGCATCATCTTTGTCGTTCCTGAAGATGCAAATGAGAGATCCGATGGGAAAGTAGAAATCTTTGCCGGCGAAATGCGATGTGAAATACTGAAATCTCCCAAAGAACGAGCGATGGCGTCATCTCCGATTTATGATTTCTTAGGGAGGAGTTTTGGGCCTTAGGCCCATATATATAAGCAACAAAATGTACAAGAGGAATAAACCCCGCGAAAAAAGCAGCCGCCTTTCGTCTCCTCAATTCTTGCCCATCGGAAGTTCGGAACAAACACACGATTTCTGCATTCCTTTCAGGCGCCTTCCGTCGACGGCGCTTCAGTTTCCCTCGCCGCCGGTCGACGTCCTGTCGCGCGATCCTCCCGTGCTGCCGCTGCCTGCCATTGGAGGTAAAATAGGTTTATATTTGCTAGTTTATCACAGTGGATTGTCGATTGAAATTTGTGCTCGATTTCAAAGTTCTAAACTTCGTTGCTGTGCATATTCAATCTAAATAGCTTCAGCTGGAACGGACATGGAATACGGCAGCATCCCTTCGTCCGTGCACGCCACCGTGTTCAAAGAATCGGAGTCTCTTGAGGGGAAATGCCATGAGATCAAAGGCTACGACTTCAACCAAGGCGTGGACTACCATCAGCTGCTTAAATCAATGGTCTCAACTGGGTTCCAAGCTTCCAACCTCGGTGACGCTATTTCAGTTGTTAATCAGATGGTCTGTTTTGATATCCTACTACGACTAGTCAAGCGGCCCTTGTCTTTTACCTTATATTGATGTTATCGTCTTATAAATTGAGCTTCTTTTGTGCTTTTACTATTGACATTGAAGTTAGACTGGAGGCTTGCTGACGAGATCATTGCTGAAGATTGCAGCGAAGAAGAGAAGGACTCTGCTTATAGACAGTCAGTGAGGTGCAAGATTTTCTTGGGGTTCACCTCAAATCTGATCTCTTCCGGTGTTAGAGATACAGTTCGCTATCTCCTTCAGCATCACATGGTGAGGAAAGGGTTGTTTTATGTCCAATGTGATACATATAAGCGAGTTTCCTTTGATGTATTTTGCTCCGTGGGATTTAATGGACCAACTAGCTTTGATGATGGTTGTTGTTTCTGAATGCTCTTTCTAGTCTCTTGGGAGCTCCTTAACTTTTCTTGAGTAAACTAAAAGATCATGTTGCACAAAATTTGCTGCAGGTTGATGTGGTGGTCACTACTGCAGGTGGCATAGAAGAAGACCTTATCAAATGCCTAGCCCCGACATACAGAGGGGACTTCTCTTTACCTGGAGCTCAACTGCGTGCAAAAGGGTTGAATCGCATTGGCAACTTGTTAGTTCCTAATGATAACTACTGCAAATTTGAGGACTGGGTTATCCCCATTTTTGACCAGATGTTGAAAGAACAAACTGAAAATGTATGGTTTTCGTTCATTTTGGATTTATCCATTTCAGTTGAGGTAGAATCTTATGCCTTCCTTCTTATGTTTTTTTTAGAATACTTTATGGACGCCATCAAAGTTAATTGCCAGACTGGGGAAAGAGATTAACTGTGAAAGCTCATACCTTTACTGGGCATACAAGGTAACAAGCTAGTTTTTCTTGATTTTCCAATACTTGGTATTTTATCTTTTGGAACATGTGCTAATTTTCCATCTTCTTCAGAACAACATTCCAGTGTTTTGTCCTGGATTAACTGACGGTTCACTTGGGGACATGCTGTACTTTCATTCTTTCCACAATCCAGGATTGATTGTTGACATAGTTCAAGGTGAGTGTCTCAACTTCTGACTAATATCAGTTATCCATGGCTCCATTTGCTTCTATCAGTTGGACTTCCTTAGGACAAGTTGGTTACATGAGCCGATAGAACTGAAGTGTGATAACCGGAGAAGTTACGAGAGTACCTTTTATGGGTGGAAGATGCTGTTAAAATATTGTGAGATAATTAGCATCAACCCACCACTTTTCATGTGGGTGTTATGAATTGGTCAAAATGATCTCATGACTATTTGAGTTCTGAAGATCACATAATATGCATTTCTATTGTGGGTACAGATATTAGGGCCATGAATGGCGAGGCTGTTCATGCAACTCCTAGGAAAACTGGGATCGTTGTTCTTGGAGGTGGGCTGCCGAAGCACCACATATGCAATGCCAATATGATGCGAAACGGTGCAGATTATGCTGTTTTTGTCAACACGGCGCAGGAGTTTGATGGGAGTGATTCTGGAGCTCAGCCTGATGAGGCTGTTTCTTGGAAAATACGAGGCTCTGCCAAAACAGTAAAGGTAGTATCTTCTCTTGTGTGCTCTTTTTGGTTTATGACCTTGCTTTCACTTGTTTTTTAGGTTTCTCAAATGATGAGATATATGCTACAAGCTGTTTCATACGATGCAGTACTTGGATGTCTATGTGGCTGTTTCATTTGTAACAAAACAAACATCTAACAAAAGAAATCATCTAACTAAATAAGTGTTCAATAACAAAATTGGCATTTTGTCTAGTTTGCAATTAGTTTGATTATCTTGGCATGGCACATAAGCTTTGTCATGTCTCCGTAATGGACCGTTTAGCATCCACTAGGCCCTCGGCTCTCGAAACTGACTCCCGATTGCCGAGGAAACACATGAACCTGTGATAAAACCTATTCTCGAATTGGGAAGAGTTGGATCCAGCAGGTGCATGGGGGTGCCCGGTTGCACGGTTTTGGTGACTTGAGCCTATTTGACATGCTGACTCAACGAAACTTAATGTCAGATTGGACAAAGATGAGTTGGAGTGAGTCTTTTGTTTGGAATCATTCAAATATGGTGAGTATTTTGTATGATTTTCAATCGAATGGTAATTTTGTTACAAAACTTGGTAATTCAGTGACCATTTAGACTTTAGTCATTTGACCCCTATGATTTTTACATCATGATCTTGGAGGTCCTATCGAATGGTAAAACTATCTAACAACAATTTTGACTGTGATCTCTCCTTTGGTTTTGAAACTGAAGGTTCATTGTGATGCAACGATTGCTTTCCCGCTACTGGTTGCTGAGACATTTGCCACAAGGCAAGACAGAACCAGGAAGACCAGAGCTTGATCTATGGTGGCTACGTGCAGTTGGTTAACGAAGAGATGGACATTCAAGACCAACTTTCATAACCATTTGAAGGTTAAGCTTCTATAGTTTTACATGGTATGGAAGGTGTGAGTAGGAAACATAGCTTTGCTGGATTTTTGTTCTGCCAAAGTAACAATGGCCATATTATCCGCATGGAAGAGTATGATTGTTTGAACTTAAATATGAACCTAAAGTTCAAGTAGAGTCCAGGAGGCACAATGTGCGCAAATTGACTTACCCAACTGTGACTTACCCATCTGGGTTGAAGACTCTGCCCTTCCTAACTAGAAAAGAAGTTAAATACTAAAGCTACTGCCTGTGGGGAACTCTTGTAACTTCAAAAAACTTTTTACCGTAAGATAAATCACATACAAGTACCATTTGGTAACTTCGTCCATCTCATGGTATAACCAAAGTTACACAGAAACTATATGGAAACGCTTTCGGATTTACAAATTTTTGAGTGAAAAAAATGCACGACAAAAAATTACCACTCTGATATGTGAGTGGTAACTTGTGGTAAATAATGTTAAAAGTCGTAAATGACAGTTGGTATTAAGGTCGGTTATTTGGGTTTATCCGAAACCAGACCGTATAACCCGGATCGGAATCATCCTGGAACCGGATAACAAATAATCCAATATCATCTTTGAGCTTAGATTTGAGGTAAAAAATCGTTTGTGACCGGATCGAAAACCGGATAAGAGAGCCCAATATCCAAAACTTAACCAACTCCTCACCTTTTGAGGTCTCAGGCCACTCAAATTCCCACATGGTCAATCTAAAATCAAGACCGAATTGGGACCGGACCGGATCAAGACCGAACTGTATCCAATCCAATCTTTGGTCCTTATATTCCTGAAAAGATCGGACCGAGACCAGATCAATTCGGACCAATTTAACCGGACCGTATAATCACCCCTAGTTAGTATACTCCTACTATCATGTATTCAACCTTCCTACAGTATTGGTATGTTCATAATACCATCATGGTACGCTTTCTTACCATATGGTATTAAATAGGAGCATAACATATGGTGTTGACTGGTAAAAAATGACTCATTTTTTTTGTTCTAAAATTATATCAAAGTAGATATCATTTTAAAGATGACAATTAATCTTATTTATATGTGTAAAAAAATTCAAAATTCCGACTTAAAACGAGAGAGAAATCGTCCGTTAAAGATTAAAGGAGAAAGGATAAAAGACTTTCCATGAGAGAGAGATGTTGATAGGGATATCAATAGGTCGGGTTTTGCCAAACTCAAAACCAAACTCATGGATTTATCCTTAAAAAAAAACCCGGAGTAAAATCCACTGGATTTGGAAAACTCAAACCCAACCCAACCCGCTGGGTATCCGCGGGTTCATGGGTAGCCATGGGTTTTGTGGTAAAAATTTACAATAACAAGTTCCTATCAAAATAAAAGTCAAATATCAATCTCTCAATACAAATTATCCATATATAAAACACCATTCCAGAAAATTCAAGCAAATCACAAATTAATCATACAAATTATTCAACACCAATCTAGAAAACTAAAAAAAATTGAACCAAATCACAAATTATCCATAAACAACATGATTAATTGAAAGCTTCTTCCTCCTTGTCAATTAAACTTCTTCACTCTCCACTCGATAATATCAACTTCATTCTACACAAGTAGAAAGAAAAAATTAGACATGTCTCCACAAACATAAAAAGAAGATTAGTTGCTTAGAATATTCAACATACCGAAAAAATTAATTATATGGGTATGGCCGGGTATCAAGGGCGAGTATATCTAAACACAAACCCAATCCAAACGGGTGAATAGTGTTCTAGTTTAAACCCGAACCCGGTCCAATCTCATCAACACGAATTTTACACACGTTGACCGAGTTGGGTCAGGTAGGGTATCCGTGGGTTCCGATTTTGTTGTCATCCCTAGATATTGATATCATGCGGATGTGGACGGATTGCTCACGCTTATCTACCATAAGGTTGCTGATCGAAAGGGCAAAGCAGAGCAAGTTACCGGGGGGGAATCTCGTGTAACCATTATTTTTAACATCTAACGTAGGCAAAGTTTGCAGACCATTTACATGCAGACTTTCTTGGCAAGGAGAGACAGAGGTGGTAGTACTCTAACTATTGCTTTCCTGTACAGTAACTGAAGCGTCTGGAACAGGTTCCAATTTCTTATCTCGCTTCCGACAAAAAAAATGCATCGCCAGAGAAGAATCTGGAGCTTGATTTCGATTCTTTCTCTTCGCAGAAAGATTTTCAGCACCTCAAAGATTTGCAAGGAGTTTGGGATTCTCGAGCCTTGGTTCCATGGAATTACGTGACAGAAACATTTGACCTGAAAAGCATAATAAGAAAAATTAAACACAGGGAGTAGCCTAAGTTTCCAGTAGTAGACGGAAGGTGACATAAGGTCCTAATCTTGTTATTGTTGAGTTAGCCTTCGTGCGACAGAATAGGAAAAAAGTTCACGTAGAAGCAATCGCGGAAAAGGATCGATACCAGGGCTGTGATATCGAGACTGCTGGAGATGATGTATCGACTCTTTCCTTCCCGTATATGGCAGAATTAAGCACATTGTACTGATCAGAGACAGACTCATACAGTAACTTTGTGTATGCCTCCTTGGCCTACAAACAACAAGATCGTCATCATCATCATCATCATTATCATTAGAGAGATACATGCAGTTGAACAAACAATGACGGAAACATGGACAGGACATTAGATATATCTGCCATTCTTATCTCAACTGAAGCAAACTGGATATTGGTCGCAACTATAATTATCTGGTAATCGAACTAAAATACCGATATATCTGTACACTCTCAAGGCACAAATTCAAAATGAGTTCTCAAGTTTATTTTCTACACAGAATAAAAAAAATGTCTACGACCTTACTTGAACAGGATCTGTTCTATAGGCTCGTACTTCTGTGTCCTTTATAAAAAAAAAAATGTCTGCCCAGCCCCAGGCTTTACATAAACACATAAGTTCCATGTCAAATTTATTAAGTAGCGGTGACCTACCTGTTCAAGATTTTCATAAGCGCCAGCAATTTCATCGAAATTCACTTCTGTCCCAACGGATACCCCTGTTCCAGAAAAGGATATCACCCTCTTCTCTCCGATTTCTTTCTCCACCTGTGGATTTCTGAAGTAAATAACACGACAGAGGGAGAAAAAAAAAGGGGGGGAACAAGTCATATATATGTATATACATGCCTTGGGAGGAGGCGGCATGATATCATGGCATAGTAGTGCCAAAGGATAGATGTGTCCTGGAGCACCAGCGTTTTCAGCTACCCTTCTCATATTGTCAACTGAAGATGTATCGAATGGTGCCTGCCCCACTATTAACATCAGTAAGGCTGAACATTTGCATTTCACAGTAGTAAGAAATGGGAAATATGTCCATATATAGAGGCAACTGGAGTTTCAGGTGAAGGACTTACTGGATGCCATTCTCCAGTGACAGGATCGGGACGATCCCTACCACCACTGGGTGCAATCCATATTATCTGCGAACCATTCCTGCAATATAAGTAACCATGGAGATAGCCATATTTTCTTTCAGTTGAACACTTCAAGTACACTAACGGTGGGGCAAAAAGCTTAACATACACGAGAGCAAAATGATTGAGAAAGGATGAGTTGAAATGAATTAAGACTGACAAGTTCCATAACATTTTCTACAGTAGACCAGTTCGAATGACCAACAACAAGATTACTCTTATCTCCACCAGCCAGGAGAGTTTCACGCATGTTGATGGGAAGGAGTTGAAAGACCAAAGGCTACAACAAAATAAAAAAGTTGTACCAAAGATTCACCCAGAATCCTAGAAAGTATAATACCTCAGAAGCATTGCCATTTCCTTCAAACTTCTTATATTTGCCTTTTTCTTCATCTCGACAAGTTCAGGGATATCAAACATGTGCTTTTTTGAGTACACACAAATGAGATTCCTGATAACATGCAGCGATGAATTTTGAGATCCCAATAACGGACATGCATGATGGACAAAACATGGAAATGCCTATTAGCCTATTACCTTCCCATGCTGAAGGGCTTGCAAAGAGGATCTGTTACAACCCTATCCCCGGCTACGTAAATCTGCCAAGGTGTACAGATAGAAGTTGATTATGCTCCTATCAACAGCAGCAAGGGGAATGCTCACAAAAAGGCAGATATCAGACTCACCAAGTTCTCAGCAATGTGAGGGTTTGTTCTTTCAAGGAGCAATGCAATGACTGCTGGGTCTGCTTCAGTTTGGTGATTTGACATCAAGATAACGTTATGCCCCTTCCATGAATAGCACAAAAATCAAAACCTCAAACAAAAAATCGCCTCGTACTTGCTCTAATCTACACCTCCTACGATATAAGAGATATTAATATTAACTGCAGTGCAATTTATGCTCATCAAAATGAGGGAAGTGACAATAACTAGTATAATTTGATACATTCGTATCTTCACTTTCGGAAATGCCCCTGAAATCCAGCATTGCCAAATAGAGCATATATAGATTTTAGTAGAGCAAACAGAGCATATATAATAATACAAAGTAACCATTCTAATTATAAATGTGAAGAAACGAAACTAAGAAGATAGAATAATGAAAAAATGTAAGCATAATAGACAGAGATCGATGGTAATATGATGATGTATGACAGATCTTCTGCGCACAAGCTTGCGTTGTACACCGACCATTGCATCACTTTTCCCTCTTGATGCAAGCACATACTATAGCACTTGTGTTTTCTTTGTTTTAACTCGTCAATTAAGAGTGTTATTCTTCCGGATTAACGGACAGTACACGAGGTAAAAAAAATCATGATTGTGAGAATTTGTGGACAATGTAGCTCACCAAGTTAGTCATACAATTAGTAGTCGATATATTCATTAAAAAATTATCCTAAAAATTGAATGTTTCTGTTGAATGCTACACCAAATCCACTCACAAGTTGAATTGGAAAAGCAAGCAACCTTACTCATTGATTCAAGACAAAGCACAAATAGACAAGCGAATCTTCAAGCAGGTAAAAGACAGGGTAGTTGATTCTGTCAAGAACCAGTTGCTCCCAATAACTCGAGTTGTTGGGAGAAGGTTTTGCTGGATCTTATACCACTCTCTAACACGCCCCCTCAAACGAAAGCCAACCCATGGGCTTGAAGTTTGCACAGGCCCACCATACCATGTGCTTGAAAGACAACGGTTAATATTGGGGGTCGTGGAGATTCGAACACATGACCTTTCGGTTCTAGGCTCTGATACCATGTCAAGAACCAGTTGCTCCCAATAACTCGAGTTGTTGGGAGAAGGTTTTGCTGGATCTTATACCACTCTCTAACAGATTCAAGTATCAGTAATTAGTAAACCCTAGCTGCCTGGAAAGGATAACACTTGGAAAACGAAATAGCCACTTGAAAAATTACCTGCTGTAGCTTTTCTTCCATGTCGCTAAAAATGCTTATGTTCCCAACATATGAGTTTCTGTAGTAAATGTACATTCCGAATTAGGCCCTATGATAGATGAAAAATGGCTATGAAAAGTTCAGGACTGACCTGAAATCAATTAAAGGACGGATGTAATTTTGACCAAATTGATAGTAGTCAAACGGTTCCCTCAATGCTTTGTGATAAGGGGGGAAGACAAAAGGATCCTGAAAAAGATTTACAAATGATCACATCAGAGGTTTCCCTGAGCAAATACCTTTTGATGTACAAGCACTTTAGCTGGTATACGGTAACCAACTTACCTCCACATCAACGAGAATCCGATCCAATGCAAGACACATGTTGGACAATACAATGTCACTTGCTTTTGGATGTCCACTTTGGAGAACCTGAAAGGTGAAAGTCTCTGTCAGACAAGTGCAAATCCACTTTACAAGTGCATAAACCTGTAATCTACACGAAAGTTGATTTCCCAGAATCAGAAGACTAGTTTATGAATAGTGTGCAAAATGGTAATTAAAACCAACTTAACCAAGACAGTTTATGAATGCATGCAATTCAAAAGTTCAGGATATTTACAGCTTTTCTGTAATTGTGATATAGTTCTTCCATTCCTTCTGCGACAGTAGATGGCAGCCTTCCAGCTTCTGCGTCCTTCCTGATTCCAGACAAGATATCTGCAGACGTAACACAGAAAAGATTAGGAAATCATCCCATTAGACAACATTCAAATGTAAAGGCACTAAGGCATATGCTCACAGTTGTGTTAATACTCATCGTGTCATACACACACAAAATTCACAAGTGATTATCCCATATGTCTCCCAAGGACTGTGCTCATATCCTGTTTTTTCCTTTTCTTTTTGTTTGATAATGGTGATATCCAATTAATACAAGGGAAACTTAAAGGTACAAGGAAAACAACAGGGCTCCAAAACAACCGAACGACCCTATTCCAAACTAAGCCAGTGGAAGCAGGGCCAAAGAGAAAAGAAGCATCAGGACGAAAACACGACAGGCAGCACCTTCTTTTTGAAGCTGCATGAGAAAGTCCAGGCTTCAGCAGCAAAGCAAGCCAGGAAACTAAAAACTGCAACGCAGGGCATCCCAGTCAAAGTATTGCTCTCATCAAACGGATCTTCTATGAAACAGGTATATGTGCTCGTCTACTCTTCATTTGACGACATTAGAGAGGTTTTCGTTTAAGTAGTAAAATTCTTGAGAATCCACTCAAAGAAAACAAGTGAAAGTAAAACTGATATGTGAAGTTATGTACAAGAAGCCTCATTACATGGGAGTTATGAATTTAACCTGCAAGAAAACTGATCCTATTCTAATACCATTTCTCAAGAATGGTACTTTTCCTACAATAATTTACAGAAGGAAACAAGTAAGAATCCTAGTTAGGAACAGACAGAGAAAGTAATAAAAATAAGCCAACATGGTAAAAAATAGACAAAAAACCAACATCCTTACAGGTCAAGTAACAACATACTACAGCTTATCTGGCCAAAAATGATTCTCCGTGGATGTGAGTCCATAAGACAAAGGTGTTTTCATTCTTATACGCATCCTTTGTATTGTCGGCTATGTAATTAGTAGCAATGTCATGGTCATAGATTGCATGTTGCTGGCTCAATATGGTCTAGTATAGGAGACTCAATCAAAGCGAAAAAACAAGTATTTTAATCCTCTCTGGCAAACCAACTACAACAGTGATCAGAAATCTTACTAGCACAAACCCACAATTCGGTATCTGAGTTGATAAATAAAGTCACAGAGTAGAAGCCAACACCTAACACATCAATCTCTATCCCTAACACATCTCTCACCTTAGGTGTATTTCACCTTTTCCAGTTATCATTGACTTGGTACTCAGTTGTTAATACCTGCAAAGACAACGAACCATCTCTGCAGGAAAATAGTCTCCTCATAAGACAATTTTAGACATCCTTCCCAAATTCTATGACTCTGTAAACCATCATATTGAACACCACTGGACTTGAAGAACCTTAACAAGCAACTCACACTCAAATTGAAATACAACACAACGTCCTTTCACCAATCTAAGTTGCCAGACAGTAGCAATTCAATAACACTGTAACTTCCATAAGTAGCTATGGATAGACACTCGGTAACAGTGAACAAATGGAAACCGATTGGTATAGGCCTGTTTATCGTGAACACCAAGCAACACACATATGCAAAGTATAACGTAACAAAATCAGGAAAATGAAAAACTAATATCGGAATTCACCTCCCTCAACCGATTCTACATTCAAGAACAGCAGTGAACAAACGGAAAACGATTGGCATAGGCCTATCTATCGTTAGCATCAAGCAACACACAAATGCAAAGCATAACGTCACAGAACCTTGGAAAACAAAAACTAATACCGGAATTCACCTCTCTCAACCGATTCTACACTCAAGAACAGGAGCAACAAGCACGCAATTCAGTTCCAAGATACGGAAAGTTGCGCGTTATGGCCAGTGCTTCAGCAATATGAAAATGATCCTACTAGCGTTTCTCGGTGCTTAATGTGCTCTACCGGAAACCAAGATTTGCGGTGAATACTATGGCGTAGCGGAACAAAAGAAAACACTATCACTGAATTCAGTAATTAGCTTGCATTTCACGGGCCACTCAATCTTACTCGTTGCATATCTGTTCTACCGGAAAGCAAGCTTTACGGCGAATTCAATCGCGCAGCGGAACAAAAGAAAACACGATAGCTGAATCAGTACTAGCTTGCATTTCGCGGCCGCTCAATCTTTTACTGTGACGGTAGCTGAGAGCTGCCGGTTCACTTGTCACTCAAAATTTTCTCAGCAACCAAACAGATGAAAGAAAAATGAAAACCGTAACGGAAAGAAAGCAATAGAAGGGATCAATCAAAGCCTACCTTCTTCGGTTCTCGCATCGAGAAACGTGCTGGTACTGCTCTCCGCACCGCCGCGCTTCTCGGCGGCCACTGCTCGGCTGTCGTCGCTGCTGGTAACGAGCTCCGCCATCGCGTTGCCGTGGAGTGAAGAGAGGAGCAGCATCTGGCGGGGGCAAGCAGGCCTCCGCGGCGGACCAGATCTCAGGACGAATGAAGAAGTGGAGAAAGCAAAGCGCGGCGGTAGGAGTAAGCTGAGGCAAGAAAAGGACGACGGAGAAGTGAGGGCGGCGGCCGCGGAAGCTGGCGGTTGGTTGTTGTTGGAGAGGAATGCGGAGGAAGAAGAAGGAGGAGGGAAAGCGGATAATCTCATCCTCTCTCTCTCTCTTTTCTGTCTATTTCACGGCTATCATAAACCGGCGGACTGGAGAAAGACTGCGAAGGAAGCGTCGCTGTTCATATATGTTGTTGTGAACGGGGAAGGAATGGGCAAAATTGCGCAGAGAGTGAGAGAGGGGAAACGGGATGGGGAGAACGGGGAATTTTTCACCCTTAGTCCCCCTAATTTGACCTTTTACCAACATTGCAGTTGGAAGATAATTTACCTCTCCCCACCCACATTCTCGGAAGTTGTGATTAAATATAATATGAATTGTTTGGACTATTAGTAAATCAATAAATAATAATTTAATTACTCACATCCAAGAATCATTAATGTGATCCGATTAGAGGTGGCAATTGGATCGGATTCGTGGATTCGTGGATTGGATTGGTGGATCCATGGATCAAATGGATTGGATCCAATGGATTGGTGGATTCATGGATTGGATCAAATGGATTGGTGGGTTGATCCATGAATCCAAATAACATCAAAGGCTTGGACCAAAATGTAAAATTTGATAAGTTTTGGTACTAAAATATCATAATGAAAAATTTTAGGTACCAAAATGTAATTTTCCAATGATATTTTTCGTATAAAAATATAAATTTTAGGTACCAAAATGTAAAATATAAAAAATATAGGTACCAAATCGTAATTTGCCATTTGGATCCATGGATTGATCCATGAATCCACCAATCCAATTGGATTTGGATCAAATGGACTGGATTTAAATGGATTGGATTAGGTGGATAATTTGGTGGATGGATTGGATTGGATTCATGGATTTGGATCCTAATTGCCACCTCTAGATCCCCGAATCTTATTATTAATTGTAACTTGGCCTGTACCATTTTAGTAATTATGATTACAATCGCATTAAAATAAAAAAAAATCACTGAAAACCATTACTTTTTTTATGAATAAAAAAAAACCATTACTTAACTTATTCAGCGTTAGGCAGAAAATATATAATAGAATTGGCAGCTCAAATCGATTACGGAAAATCAACAAATGACCCCATAGTTTTCATATCAATATATTATCCATAGTCGTAAAATGTCTGAATCGTTAATAAAAACATTTTGAGGACTGAAATAATAATGAAGTTTAAGAGAAGGGACTTGTATGAAGTTATCCCTCGACTTTTCTCGTGGCAAAGTGATCCCGCCGGTTTTGACGGCGAGAGACTCGACCAATTCGCGCCATCGGCCTTGGAAATATCTCTCTGCTCCGTTTATCCTTCGATTAATGGCCTGCCAGCTCAGCCTCGGCTAAATCTCCGCGTGATCTTTATGGGCCTTGGGCCCAGGCCCAAAACTCCTGCAGGGCCGAAACTCGTGCGAGGAGCGGAATATTTCCACTCCTGGGGAGACTAGCGAGTTAGCGAAGACTGTCCTCGTGACTGCGACTGTGCGGCGGACGAACGAACGATCAAATGATGATCTGATCCCAGAAATTTACAGGCGGGTTGCGGCGGGAACGATGCAAAAGCTCGGAACTTACCTCACTTCTCCGTCTCAATCGATCTACTGAAGTTTCTTACGGAGATCGGCCAGCTCTCTGCTAGATCTTCTCTCGGGAAACCCTCTCTGTAAGCTCCCTTCTCTCCATTTCACTAGTGATATGAAGATTTCGGTTCCTTTTGTCCTTCGCTCATTTGGCTCATGAATCGCCGACGATGCTTACGCCGCCGTCGTTCAGATGTTTCAATCGCCATTTCACTAGCTTAGTGGGATGGATTAAGCATTTTTTTAAAGCCAAATCGGTAATTTTCTTGCGGGAAATGAAACCCTTTTGAAGCCATTTCATTAGGTATAGATGTCTAGTGGACAAGCAATTAGCTGTAAAGTGAGCTATGTTGATAGTGTGTAAATGGGCATTTGCTCTGTATTATGACTAAATAAAAGGATTTGACTTGGGTACCTAGCTTACACAAATCCTGTAACTTCACTCTCCATTGCGGTAATTCTTCTGTGAGATGTATTCTAAGTAATTTGATTTGGACAATGCAGTGATTCGTAGCGGAAGATTAGTATCCGAGGATGGCTTCTCACTCGAACAGAAGCCTAATTATACCAGAACCTACTGCTGAATCATCGGTTTCGCATCTGACCTGGTTTTACCCTGAGGAGCTCTTTGCATCACCGAAATCGAGCTCCGGTTCGTCGGAAGGAACCCAACTCAGCCATGAACCAGGTTTGTCTGTTGCTCCTATAAGTGCCATTCCAGCACCAGTCGAGCAGCCGGCGAAGGACGAGAGCTTGAACAGTAAACCTTCAAAGGCTAGGAAAGCTTCTTCTAACAAAGCTCAGTCCAAGCCTTTGAAACCAAAGCAGACGAAGAAGAAGAAGAAGACGAGCTCTTGTCCTGATGCCAAGCGTGAGAAGAAGGACCTGAATGTGGATTACCAACAATCAGACGTCGATTTCTCTTGGGTGCCTTCCCCGTTTTGTTCTTGTACTGGTGCCCCTAGAGTTTGCTACAAGTGGGGTGCTGGCGGGTGGCAATCCTCTTGTTGCACTATAAACATTTCTGAATATCCGCTGCCTATGAGTTCCACGAGGCCCAGTGCTCGTGTCGCTGGGAGGAAAATGAGCAATGGGGCTTACACGAAGCTCTTGCTCAAACTGACGGCGGAAGGCTATGATCTGTATCATCCGGTGGATTTGAAGGATCACTGGGCTAGACACGGCACTAACAAGTTCGTGACAATCAAGTAGACATATGGTATGCTGCTGTCATCTGAAAATGGTGCATTTCGTAGTACATAGAACTTCTGGATCCAGATAGCTGGAGCTTGCCTTATTGTCTTGTTTTAACTACTCCCATGTAGTCTTCTTCGGTGTTGTATTGTACAGTCGATGTTGGCTAAATAGTAAATGTATCCTAGAAGTCGTCAATTGATTCACCTGTTGTGTCTAGCCCATGGATTTGTTCGTCAATAGGGCAAGATCTTTCATGGTGTGCCTTAAAACTCTTGTTGCCAGGAAGGGATCTGTTTTAGGATTTATCTGCAGTTTGTTTGAGTTGCGTCGGCAGCATTTTATTGGAGTCTTATCTTGTTATACACGTAAGATAGGGCTTAAGATAAGTTGTTTCAGAAGGAAGGAGATATGGTGAAGGTTGATGTAAGCAAGTAAACTGCTGAAGAAAGGAAGCAGCAGTCTTGGCATCACCATCAACTTTCATCATTCATCTATGCTTTCTGTCAGGCTCTGGTGACGAGATCGTATTCGTACACGAATCTGATAACTGAATTATTTGTCTTCTGCCTCTTTTTTTTTTTTTTTTTTTTTTTTTGCTTTCTGAGTTTGTTTTATACAAGTTACAGCTCATTTTACGCGATAAAAGCTCGGAACAGAAGGCTGTAACTGAGAGTCAAAACAGGAAGAACAGATGAATACAAATTTTATGTGAGGGAAGGGAGGTTGGTTCCTTGGGTGGGGAACTCAAGCTTTAGCCTCTACGGGAGATTTGGCCTTGGATGCTACGAGCTGCTCGTAGAGGTCTCTGATTTTCAAGCCGACGATGGTCTGGAAAAGACCCGTGCCATTGTTGCTGCCTGGGAAATCAGCATGCTTCAACATCTGTTGAGTGACTTCACCGTAGAACTTGGTGGAGAGGTTGCTCAGGTGGCTCTCCACATAGATCAGCTCGTCTAGTCTGTCGAACTGCCCGTCCATCTCCAGCACCGACACCTGAGGATGTATCGGATTGTTAGGCTACACACTTACACTCCCTGTTTGCTGTGGAAGTAGGGGATCGTCTCTAATCCGATGATCAACCTCAGCCTAGGTACGATCTAATACGATAATGCAATGAAGGGATAATGAGTACCTCTTGGCCGAAGTAGGTATCGGGGCCGTATGTGAACTTGATGCCAGGGTAAGAACAAGTGAGCTTCCTCCCACAGGGGATCCATGAGATGGTGGAGCCTTCGTCGAACAAGTAGACCGGGTTGAAGAACTTGACGCCTTCCTTCATGATCAACCTCACCCTCAAAACCTTCCCCTCGTTGTCGTCGGGGATCAACGTCGTGGGGAGCACCTCGATCACCGTGTCAGCATACTGCTTCTGAGGATCTGCATATGCATACACATGCGTGTTAACTCTTTGTACTAACTGGTATCAAATGTGGTCTCAAATGAGCAAAAGGTGGAAGACTTAGTATTGTACCAATGTAGGCGTCGAAATCGGGCTTTCGGGCTTCAATGCTGGCCTTGATGCTCTCCAGGCTGTGCCCTCTTTCAGCCATGTCCCGCTGCAGTATCACAAATCGAGTCAATTGGTTGATTAGTGTGGTTTAGGGATAGAGCATATGCATGTTTTAAGTAAAGGAAATATAATATAGTTTACCTGAATCTTCCATGCAAATTTGACTTCGTTGCTGATGTCCAAGTAGATGCTGAAGTCTAGCAGGTCCCTCACACGCTCGTCGAACCTGCAACCCCAACATTAATTCCCACTCTTTCAGGTGACAAGAATACAATGTGCAACTGATGAGTCCAACAAGTCAAAACTAACATTAGTGACATAAAAAAGGAAACTGTTCTACACACTCAGAAGATTATCGCTCTCAATCCATGCAGACAAAAGCGTGATTCTAAATAGACGTGTTTTGGTGATCTGGAAGGCATGAAAGTGTAAGTTGTCAAACTTTAAAGCACGAGTTTGACTACATTACTCTCGATGACCCATAAGATAAACTAGTCTAGTAGTGGTGTAGTCAAACTTTGAGCTGATTTTGAGTCCTTAAAAAGTTAGGGGTCGTTTGCTTGATGGATTTGGGTCATGGATTTAGGACTCAAATCCCAAGTATGATGGATTTTAGCCAAGTCCATTGTTTGTTGTTAGGTGTTAAATCCGTGGGGTCCACGGATTTGTTCCCCTTTTTTGAATCCAAATCCGTGGACCCCACGGACTTGTAAATCCCACATATTGAGGTGGGATTTGTAAATCCTTGATGGCTAGTTATATTTATAGCAAATCCATCATAATTATATCATCAAATCTATCATGCAAACAATAGACCCTTCAAATCCATGATGGTACAAATCTCTCATAAATCCAAAGGTTTTTTTGAGCCAAAACCCTCATTTTTCAAATCCAACAAGCAAACTAATCCTAAAGCCTATATTTTGCCGAGCGAGATCCTCAGACCCCTCACTTCAAGGGCTCCCTCCACCATTGAACTGGTCCGCTTAGATCGAATTAACTAAGCACTAGTCGTTCAATATTAAATCCCTATAACCAATTTGTCTCTGTAAAATATCTCCTTAACCAGTTTGTTTCAATAACTTGTTATTAGACTTTCACAAAGTCTAGTTAACATACTAAGGTGGAAAAAAATGCTCGCGGAGTTTAACGTAAGTCTCGAACCCTAAGTTGTACTCTCAAACGAAAGTATGCATGGTAATAAAAGTTTGTGTGCCCGGTTTACTGTTTAAAGCTTTTTAGTTTTTACTCTCAGTAATTGGTAAAAAAAAAAAAAAAAAGAAGGAAGAGTCACTTGCTTCTTACCTCTAACTTCTCAGCCTCACATTTAAGATTGGAGGAGGGAACTCCCCCCACTCCTTTCATCGATCTCCTTATCTTATCAGGATAAGATTTTATGAACATTTCCCCCTCACAATCTCATCCATCCTAGCTAAGCTAGATTGCTAAACCTATACATTCTTAACTTCTCCATCCAAAATTTTGATTTCTGAAAATTTTGATTTGTCGCATGATCCAACCTAAGCTGGGCACATATAATACAAGTCTCATGAAAAAAAAAAGAAAAACCCCCATGTTTCAATTTCAATATATCCCCTCATTGCAATTTTCAAAAACATGCAAAACAACCCCATAAAAAATTCAATCACACGTCTCAAAACAAAAAACCCACAAACAAATCATTTCCCTTTCCCCCGTTTTGCAAAATGCGAATCACTCGACCAAAAAAAAAAAAAAAAGACAAGCCACCGAGTCGAGCTGTTTCGCGCGCAGCAACAGCATTACTCAGTACTCACATTGGGTGGAGGCCTTCGATGACGAGGATCTTGGGCGGGTCGACGACCTCGGCCGGGTCGAGCAGGCCCGTGACGTGGTTATAAATGGGCTTCTCCACGGGGGCGCCGGATTTCAGCGCCTTGACCTGATCGTACATGAGGTCGAAGTCGTTGGCCCTGGGATCCAGCGCCGTGACACCCTTCTCCTTCCTCCCCGTCCGGTCGAGGGAGTGGTAGTCGTCGAGGCAGATGACGGTGGTGGTGTCGCTGATCAGGGTGTTGGAGTCCGGGTTCCCGCCTTTCGGCGGCTCGGCGGCGCCGCCGAACACGCTGGTCAGGCGCCGCATGAACGTGCTCTTCCCGCACCCGGAGTCCGCCGCCAGGCCGATCACCACGGTCCCCGCGTCGGCGGCGCACGTGATCACGGTGAAGCCGCTGCGGTGGCTGGTGGTGGTGGTGGTCCAGCTGCATGTTCTTCTGGTGAAGGAGGAGACGGCGGCGGCGTTGTCGTGGTGGATGATGGAGGAGCAAGTTGAGGAGGAGTTGAGTGGTGTGCAAATCGCCATTTTTTTTCTTTCTTTGTTTCTGTCTAGCTAGCTAGCTCACTCACTAGACTGGTTTTTGGTTTTTTTTTTTTTTTTTTTGATATCTTTTTTTTTTTTTTTTTTTTTGTGGAAGTGGGAAATGGAAGAGAGGGAGAGAGAGAGAAGAGGTTTGTATGGTGGGTGAGGGGAATGGATGGATGGAACTTGGAAAGAAGGGAAATGGGATGATGTTTGTTGGTTTGTCTTGTTGTTTTATGGGTTTGGAATTGGTTTTGGGGGAAAAAATTGGAGGTGATATTGAGGATGTGATCATGAGATGTTTATGAGTTTTTTGTTTTTGTTTTTTTCAGTGGGTGGTTTGTTCCAAAATTCGAATACAGTGTACGACGATGTTTTCATTTTCGTATTATCACTAGTACTTATAGTATTTTAACTTTTAAGTTTGGGGTAGCATTGATTGGTTGATTAGGAACTTGTAAGATGTAACGAACAAGGGCTTGGTCTAGTGGTAATACCACTAGTCTAAAACCTGGAGGTTTCAGGTTCGAATCCCTTAAGTAGTACCTTAATCACAAAAAGAGAAACCTATATCACCCTTATAAAAAAAAAGGAACTTGTAAGATGTACAATATTAGGTGACATATTTGTACTTGTTCAAACTTTATTGGAAACTCTACTCACAACTCGAGTAGTTGTTATAGTGATTTGGTTCTCAATAAGATATCAAACCTCTTACTTGAAGGTTCTGTTGAAATATTACTCACACACCACAAATTAACTGATACAACCAACTGCGCCAAGAAACGAATCAAGCGCAGGACATAAAAATTGGCATGATATCGTCTCGGGTTCAATTTCCAAAACCGCTACATTATGAGGAGGCATCTCTCAGTAACAATTGGCAAGACAATAAACATCAGGGCATTGCTCCTACGAGTTTGTCAGGTATTCATGAGAACTGGAGTTGCTCCAACTTTATGCACCAAAATTATTCGTAATAATTTTTTTGGTTATTAATAATCAATTTAAGTGTAAGATATATACAATACGAGTGTGTTACATGTAACTCTGGTTATGTAAAGCTTTAAGTTCAGTATGGGTGTGCTGACTATTGATGAATGCTGACCCAATTCCTTTTTTTCCTTATTTCTTTCCCCCACCTTTTATTGTTACGGTTTTGGATATTATGGTTTGCCACGTGGCGGGTTGAGGATGGTTTTGCAGAGGATTAGAGGTATGGGGTGTAGAAATGGAGTGGACGGGCGGATGGAGATCCTACTGCTCTAACCAGTAACCTCCACTATATATGACATCATCACGCCCTCTTTTATTTTCTCTTCCTCTAATTCATTTTTATAATTTATTTAATATTATTAAATTATCATTATTATTATTCTTATCGCCAAGTCTGATGTTCGTTATAGAAGCCCCAAGGCGACGGGGCTGCTGAGGCTTGGACATGGTGGATAGTGATCTAATCTGGGCAAGTGGATTTGGAGACACTGGGCTGCGAGAGGTCCAATCAAAACGAGACGTGGCCTTGATGGGCTTTGTAGCAGTAACCAAGTGAAGTGGTTGGTATTGGGCTCCCAGGCCCAGCTCTCAGGAACTCTTGTGATGCTAACGGGTGAGGAGATGTTTGTACTTTGTAGGAAGGATTCGGGACAGAGTTGTTATGGCTCACACGAAGTTTGATTATCAGGCATCAGCATAAAAGAAATAGAGAAACTTGCATGGTTGGGAACAATGAAACATATTACACAATTCTTTCTTCTTTCTGCTGCTGCTGCATCATCATCCAACTCTTATCCTAGCTTCAGAGATAAGAGCATCAACCCGATCTTGTTCTCCTGGAAGCGTTTGTTTTCAAATTTCTTGTATCGATAAGGACCTCATTCAACTCATTCCAACAGAAGCACTCGAGATCGTATTCAGCAGCAACGGATGCCCAACCAACCGAGATCGTACCCTTCCAATTTTTGGAAGAAGGAGAACAACCATTCTAGTTCCACCAACATTGCTAAACACAGATACATGAAACCCAGCAACAATACACAACAATGCCACTTAACATTTCCGTGGTAATGACCAAAATAACGATTGTGCAATTTTCTCAATGCCACTGATCATCACATTCGTTGATCATCACCAGCAGCTGTACAGCAGCTACAACCATTTCACAGACAGGCAAAACAAAGGAAAAACAAGATACAGTTTCACACCACATTAATAATAGCCCTCTCAACCATCCTCATGTCCACATTCTGGGAGAAGATGCTGGACATTCCGGTGCCTGGTAGTTGGAAATAGAGATCAGTTCCGACATGTACATTTCGACCACTCCGCTGTTGCTCATATCCACTGCACCTCCATCTTTGTTGCTGCTGCTGCTCAAAGCTTCAGTCTCAGCATACAAGGTGTTCAGAGCTTTGTCCGGTGTAGAATACGATATGGCGATGAGAGACTCCCGCACCACCTCCTCAGAGACCTCTTTGAACGGTACCTGTATATCCATATAATCTCTAATCCTTTCCTGCATTGATTGTTCACAAACCAAGACCTAGATTAGCCAGTGAACAACAGAGGAAGATGAGCACAACTACCTGAAATGAGATTAAAACACAGAATGACAGAAAACTAGCAAAACAAAACCACACCATCCCTTGAATCAATCACATACAGAGCCAGAGAGCTCCAATGATCAAAATGAGACTTCCATCTAAAAGTACCCTCTAATCCCACCACCTTCCTTCCAAGTTCTAACTATTTCAGAATGAAAAAAAAAAAAAATCCAAACTTTCCCCTTCCTTGCCTCCTACTACCAAAACCCACCAACCAATCAACAAACCACATCCCAAAAGAGTCTCAATTCGAAGAACAGTAGCTAAATCTCACCGGTCAGCGGGATAGAAACCAACCCCAATTCACAATTTGACTGCAAAAACCTATAAAAAGGGTATCTTGGATAAGAATAAGAAGGCGGGGGAAACCCGGCGGAAAAACCCCGACAAACCTTGGAAGAGGGAAACAGCAGACGAAGGGAAGATGGTATCAAAATCTGAGTATCAACATGGCAATTTCGAAGATTTTGGCTTACGGTAAGGAAAGGAAATCATAATGGAGCTTCGAGAGGGAGAGATTTCCGGATTTCGGATTGAGAAAACAGTACCTTTGCTGTTTGACGGACGGGTTGCCCTGAGTCTACGCTACCCTGTTGAAGTATGCTGCTGGAGCTATGGACTTGAATGCACAGGAAGAAGAAGCTCAGAGAGGTTCTGGCAATCAGCTTCAGCAGCAGCTGCAGAGTGTTTCAGCAGTGCATCGAAACGGGACTTGGGCTTGAAGACGATTCGTTGTTATGGGGAACGTTTCGTGACTTCGCCCTTCTCCTAGTTTGCACGGCGTCGTATTTCTTAGTTTTCTGTTGTCCTATCGCTGTTGGCCACCTGTCTTGGTTAAACAGTGAATCTGGAACTTACCGTTGTACGGTCGTTATGTTTGAATATAAATATCAGAGAACCCAGCTGTAAGAGAGCTGAGGATTCCCCTTCGCCATTTCTTCTCTTCTTCCCTAAACTTTCTACATGGTATCAGAGCATTGAAGAGCGATGGCGGAACAACAAACACCTCCACATAACAATCGATCGACGTCTGGTGGCAGTGGCGTCTCCGGCGCTACCCCATTTAACTTTGGAAACTTTGGAACAGACAACAACACTGGAGGTCAAGCCAATACCTCCAGATCTGGAAATGGCGGTCCTCTTGACCCAGTTTTCGGTAATCCCTATTATATCAATCTGAATGAAAATTTAGCTCAATCGATTGTTCCAATTGTTCTTGAAGGGCCAAACTACCAGATGTGGTCTCGAGCCGTGAAGGCTGTTCTCAAAACCAAGCAGAAATTGGGTTTTATTGATGGAACAATTCCAGTTCCAGATCGTAACAGTGATATGTTTAATGTTTGGGATGCAAACAATACTATTGTGCTGTGTTGGATCAATAACTCTTTGAGTAAAGAAATTGCTCGTAGTGTGCAAACCCATGAGAATGCACAGATTCTGTGGAATGAGCTTAGGACTCGTTTTGGACAGGCTAATGCCATCAAGTTGTCCAACCTAGAAGATGAGATTCATGCTTTCAAGCAGGGTAACTTGAATGTGACCCAGTATTATACTCATCTGAAGGGTTTATGGGAGGAGTTCAGTCAATTCAATCCTATTGTTCCATGTCATTGTGCTCCTGGAAATTTGAATCCATGTACTGCAGTAGAAGCTTTCAGGGAAAAACAGAATACTGCTTACCTCATCAGGTTTCTCAAGGGATTGAATGATGAATATGGGTACATCAGTACTCAATTGCTCATGATGCAACCACTCCCCTCAGTGGTTACTGCATTTGATCATTTGCTGCAGCATGAGCAGAAATTAAAGGCTGAAGGAGCTGTTGGGAGTCAGAAGAATGGGCAGTCAGTAGCTCTTGCTGTTGGGAATTCAGGACCTTCTGGTAAGGGAGCAGGGAAGTATGAACAAAAACATGAAGGAAGGTATGAAGGAGATGGACAAGGATTGTTTTGCAATTACTGCAAGAAGACAAATCATGTCATAAAAGACTGCTGGAGGCTTAAGAAGAAGAGACAGGATAAAGAAGCTGCATCTGGAAACAGGTTTGCAGGATCAGTGGGGCAACAATCTGGCAATGAAGACAGTCAGGACTCTGAAGGACAACTACATATTGACACCAGTAGTGCTCCATCTCACACTGGTGGGTTCACACTTGAAGAAATGAATAAGCTAAGAAGCTTATTGCAGTCCTCTAATCCCACTTCACCTACATCTCCTCAGAGTCCAAACATCAACCACAGATCTCATTCAGTGACCAAGTACATGCCTAAGTTCCCTTCTCACTCAGGTAAAGTTGTGCTTTCTTCTCATCAAATGGTTGCCAATAACAGATTGTCTTGCTCATGGATTTTGGATACTGGTGCATCAGACCACATAGCATGCTCTCTTTCTTTGTTTTTCACTTCTGTTCCTGTGTCTGATGTGTTTGTGTATCTTCCTGATCGATCCAAAGTAGCAGTTAGCCATATAGGTTCAGTCAAATTATCCCCTGACCTATATCTTCACAATGTGCTCCTTGTACCTAGTTTTACCTTCAATCTTGTCTCAGTCAGTAAGCTAACTCATGATCTTCCCATCTCACTCCTTTTCCAATCTTCCATTTGCCATATCCAGGACCTCATCACAACCAAGATGATTGGTTTGGCGAAAGAAAGTAAAGGCCTATACTATTTCATTCCTCCAGATCAAAATTCCAGCTTATCTACATCCAGCTCATCTACCACCCACATTGCTTCTGTTTACAACTTTGAATCACAGAAGATTGACCTCTGGCATTGGCGCCTAGGACATCCCAGTTTTTCTAGATTACAACTCCTTTCCAAATGTAATCCAGACATTCCTTTAGAACAAGTCAAACATTGTTCACATTGTCACTTGTCTAGACAGAAAAGGTCTCCATTTCTTTTAAGTTCCAGCATTGCTCCTGATGTATTTGCACTCATCCATGTGGATATTTGGGGTCCATTATCTATTCAATCTCATGATGGTTTTTCTTATTTCCTCACTATTGTTGATGATCACTCTCGAGCTGTTTGGGTGTATTTAATGAAACAGAAATCAGAAACCAGGTCCTTATTGACTGGTTTTTGTTCTATGGTTCAGAACCAATTCTCAAAGACTGTTAAAATAGTGAGGAGTGACCAGGGCAAAGAGTTTTCCATGTGTGAATACTATCTGGAGAAAGGAATTGAACACCAAACCTCCTGTACTTATACACCTGAACAAAATGGGAGGGTAGAACGAAAACATCAACATATTTTGAATGTTGCTAGAGCATTAAGATTTCATTCAGGTGTTCCTCTTGAGTTTTGGAGTGACTGTGTGCTTCATTCTGTGTACTTAATTAATAGACTTCCTACACCAATCTTACAGAATAAGTCACCCTATGAAATTTTGTATAAACAGCCTCCTTTCTTAGGCAATCTCAAGGTGTTTGGCTGTCTTGCCTATTCTACCACTCATTCTTCAGGTAGAACTAAACTAGATGCACGAGCACAGCAATGCATATTTCTAGGTATTCCAATTGGAATCAAAGGCTATAAGCTATTTGACTTGAACTCACATCAGTTCTTGATCTCTAGGGATGTTGTCTTCTATGAAGACATATTTCCTTTCAATCAATCTCACACAGAAGAGGGTGCTGGAAATGATAATGATCCAGTCATTCCAACACCATTTGCTTCTGATAATTCCCAAATTCCTGCTCCAGTTAGGCTTGTCAGTAGTCCTCATGATAGCAATCCTGGTCATGTCAGTAGTCCTGCCTCAAATATTCCTTCTACTTCCAGTTCATCAGATAGCAATCCAAGTCATGTCAGTAGTCATTTTCCCTTGAATCAATCTAAGTCTGTTACTTGGTCTGATGCATCATATTCTAATGACATGGTAAGTACATCTGATCAAATTGATGAAATGGAAGTTGAAGGACCTGAGATTGAACAGCTAGAAGAGCATGAGGCTGAACCACAGGTAAGGAAAAGGCCATACAGGGAGATCAACTTACCAGCAAGGCTTAAGGATTACTACCTCAATACTGTCAGTCATTATCCTTTGTCTGAATGCATTGGATATGATTTACTTACAGCAGAAGCCAAAGCTTATGCCCTGAGCATTATGAGTGAATTTGAACCTTCTTCTTATGAAGAGGCCAGTAAGGATGAATGTTGGATTAGGGCAATGAATGAAGAATTACAAGCCCTTTTGGATAATGAAACATGGGAGATTGTTATCTTGCCTCAAGGAAAGAAGGCCATTGGTTGCAAATGGGTTTTCAAAGTGAAACTGAAACCAGATGGCAGCATAGAAAGACATAAAGCAAGGCTGGTAGCAAAGGGATTCACACAGATATATGGAGTGGATTTTCTAGATACATTCTCACCAGTGGCAAAGAATAATTCTGTTAAAACTTTGTTGGCTGTGGCAGCTGCTAAGGATTGGAATCTTCATCAATTAGATGTTTCAAATGCCTTTTTACATGGTGATTTAGATGAAGATGTTTTTATGCAACTCCCACCAGGTTTTCCTATTGAGGGAAACACTACAGGCTTAGTTTGCAAGCTAAAGAAATCACTATATGGACTTAAGCAAGCTAGCAGACAGTGGTTTGCTAAGCTCACTGGAACTCTTCTGAAAAATGGTTTCTCTCAGTCTAACTCAGATTATTCCATGTTCATTAGATGGGTGCAAGGCAGAATAGTTGTGGTTCTTGTGTATGTGGATGACATCATACTTGCAGGTCCAAGATTGGGTGATTTAGAAGCAGTAAAGGGATTTCTTAAAAGGGATTTCAAAATCAAAGATCTTGGAGAGCTGAAGTATTTCCTTGGCTTGGAGATTAGCAGAAATGAAACTGGAATCACAGTTTGTCAAAGAAAGTATTGTTTGGATTTGCTTG